ACATCAGATGTTATGTCATAGTTTTTCCTCAGTTTTGAGATATTGACACGGACGATGCGTGTTCCAAGATCCACACCTACCATGGATCCTCCGAGTTCGGAGATCACCTTTCCTTTTAGCCAAGATCCATGTTTGGACCCAGTGGATCCAATCTTAGACTTATCTTCTGACCAGTAGAAAACCTTATCTCCCAAAGAGAAAGGTCCTTGGGTCATTGACAGTCTGGCTGCAAGATCTCTACGCAGATCATCAGATTGGCGTGCCTCTTGGTAAGCCCTGTTGGCAAGCTCCTTAATGGCTCTCGCAGTGACTTCCGTATCAGTTGGATTACCTGTCAACTGATTGGGATCAGCGTTCTCTGGTGTTATAACATCTCGAGGACGCCTTCCAAAGGCCATTTCTAAAGGAGTAACTCCTCCGTAGGTAATCGAAGAGTTTCTTGCCAAACATGCTTGGCGAACGAGGTTGCCATACTTCATGGTGATTCCGTTATACTGCGGGTCACCATCCTTCAGGATCTGAAGTATGAGCTTAATCTGATGCTTCAGCAATCTTACAGCAGCTTCGGCCCTGTTGGGCCATGGTGTTCCAGGTCCTGTTGCCACAGGCTTGATATTCTGCCGATTGTAATAAGCCTCCATTTTTGGAGTCATGAATGCTTGATCTCCAACTACAACCTTTGGGTTGATCTGAAATTTCTCAAAGTAGTCATTCATAATCGACATTGTAGTATGTTCTTCTTTATCCTGGACTACTTCGGCAGTCAACAAGTTTGTTGCTCCATCATAGAGAATAAGAAATACTAAGCGACTATCCTTGCCGGGAATTGGAAGCTCACCGTGATCTACGAAGGTGAGATCACCGAAAGTCTCTGATCTTAGACCAGAAATCTTCGCTCTCGAAGGAGCTCTCACATGTTCCTGGCAGGCTGAACACTTTTTGACCAGTTGGTCATATAGCTCGTAGATCTCCTTTGGGATCTGTAAGGCTTTTGTGCGTCGCTTGAACTGATCCGTACTCATATGACGGTGCTTGAGGTGAAGCTTATAGAGTTCTACAGGGTCCTTAAGCTTCTCATGAATCCTGCGAAGAGCAATGGGAAGAGATGGCGATGGTTCTGCGACAATCTCTTCACCTGTAGGTGAGTCTGTACCAGGAGCCGGGTATTCTCTTGACTCAAGTGGTCTTACCTCCGTCCCGTCATCAGCTCCTGGGACCTTAGACTTCTCTTCAACAGGAGATTTAACCGCATATTTGCGGGATTTCTTCAGAAGGTTTTTAAGACCCTTTGGAGTCTTTATCTTCGCAGGTGGAACCTCAAGTCTTTCTTCTTCTGGAGGTTCATGTGATGCAGAGGATTCTGCAGGTTTGTCCCTAGAACCTGATGATGGTTCCGATGGTCCGGAAGGCTCAGGAACATCTCCAGATGATTCTGGTGGATCAAGTTTCTTGGCAGATGATTCTGCCGGATCAGATGGAAGAGGCTTCTTTTTCCCTGAAATCCTCTTCGGTGGTGGATCAGCTGCTCCCTCAGGTGCTTTGTCACAACCCTTGAGGTACGTGTGAGCCTTTTTCTGTCCGGCACAGGCTGGACAGCGACCTTCCGGTATCCTAACATAAGGCTTATTGGCTCCTAGAGCAGTCTCCGTCGCACTGAACGACGTACCTGACTTAGGAAGGTACTTCCTGGTGGAAGTAAAGCCTAGAAGGTCCAATACCAAATGGTTATTGGTACTAATCGGAAGAGGGGTTTTATACAAACCGAAAGCTTCACACGTTGCTAGGTCAGCTGTTGGGACTACACTCGAGGGTCATTCTTAAATTCCTCATCTGTTCGATGGAAAACAAAATGGGGACTCTTCCCTGATCCAAAACTTCTATGGTTGTATCTCTTCTTGGAGTTGTGTTAAACCATAGAGTTACACGCTCCTTGATAAGAGCTGTTTCACTATCTGCGAAAGAGAACTTCGTGTTCGAAGGTGAAAAAGTGAAATCAATCATGCCTGGGGCATGTTGCTTCACGGCCTTGATAAGCCTGTTCACCGCATAGCGGGAACCCATAGCCCTAGTACAACCAGAGTCAAGTATGACAAAGGTAGGGCTCTTATCAAGATTGATCCGCTCTGTGAGAGCAGATAGGACGGTGTGCTGCAACGGAAACACTGCTGTTGCAGTCTCCACACCTTGCCCCTCGGATGGTTCAAAGACCTGGGGCACGTAACTCACTGATGAGTTGTACACGGGTTCTTGGTGCGCGCTCGGATCTGTGCCTCTACCTGATGATCCTGCTTGATTTCTTCTCTTCTTTTTCCGTGTCTTTCTTCGTGAGGCTTGTGATGCATAGTATGTATAAGACGTTTGATCGTCATAAGCGGCATAATTCCAACTGGAGTCAGTATAATAACTGTCCTCATACCATGAATCCCAGCTCGGTGCGGTGGAACTCTCATAGGCCTGTGGAGATCCAGTTTGGTCTCCTTGTAAGGAGGCAGACTTAGCTGTATCCTTACCTTTGCCTTTTGATTTTGTACCCTTGAAGGAGCTTCCTTTATCTCCTTTGTCCTTTCCTTTTCCTTTGCCTTTTCCACCTTTTCCTTTTTCTTTTCCTTTACCTTTACCGAAATAGCTGGAATCAGTTGGATCATGTTCTGCCTGGTTGGCTCTCCCTTTTCCGCGGTATGACCTAAAACGGCCACGTCCTTTTCGCTTGCCACCCTTTGCTCTTCCCGGTGATCCGGGACGCATTCTTGGTCTTCTTCCCTTTTTGAATCTCCTTGCAACGAAGGCTTCATGGTCGTCAACTGTCCAGAAGACAGCTTCTTCATCCTCGGCGGCAAGAAAGCCTTCCTCAAGGGTGTCTTCGTCTTGGAGCCAGAATCCATCGACTCCGTCGTATTCACCCTGATCGAGGATGAGGAAGTTTCGACCTCCGCGTTTGCGGCGTTGATCTCTCCTTCCATGGCGGTCCTTCTTGTGAGAAGAGTGCCGAATATTGGGATCCTGCAGACCAGTTCTGGTCGTTGAGAACTGATCGAACATGGTCTGCCGTACCACAGGGTACGTGTAGGTCTCAATTCGGTAACCTTGGTTGGTCAATGCTGTTACCAACCTCTCACGTTGCATCTCATTTAGGTCGGACTGCACTAGGAAGAGGAGAGCTAGGAGATTATCATTTAGAGGAAACGCTCTTCGATGATTATCAAGGCGTTCCTTGTTCCATGTTTCGAAGAAACGTGCGGCGTATGTGTCTCTCTCGGTTGCATCCTGTAGGCGCAAGAAGGTTTGATCTGCCTGCACAGCCTGCATGAAATCTGGATGGGCATCTTCCAGAGCTATCTCTGGTAAGAGATCCATCCATGAGTTTCTCACGCGCTGTAGCACGATCTCAAACTTAGCAATCCAAGTCACAAAGTCTTGGTTGCCCTTCCATGCCTTGAATAGGCCGAGGAAACGCCACAGGAAAACGTACTGTTCTCCTTTCACGAAAAATGGACGCATCTTCTTCTTGAAGTAATCTACTCCATCTGGGGCTGCAAGCCTTTCTCGGTTCAGTGATTCTTTTTGTACTGCGGCCAATCCGGAGAGCCTCGTCTTGAGAGACGGACCTCTTTTGGTGTCATCCAGCGTTGTTATGTCGCACCAGTCGTCAATCAACTGTTCATACTCAAACCACGAAGTGGTGCCATCATAGGCAGGCGCGATCTTGGGCGTTATGCCTAATGATGCAAGCATGCGGTCAGATGTTGCATATGACTGTGCGACATAAGTAGCTGGACCTTGGGAGGTCTCTTCGTTCTCATATCCCCCGGAGGATTGGGAACTGCCGTCGGCTTCGCTATGCGAGCTCGACATTGTGCTGCCTCTTATCCGCTTGGTTAAGCGTTCGGCGAGGCCGACCGCTGTAGCGGACTTTGTGAGGCGGGCGGCCCTTTCCGGGCTCCGCTACCAGAAAACTGTGCCGATACACCCCCAAGGGATACTCCTTGTAAGGAGGTGTATGACCAGTTATTCCCTAAGGATCAAAGGGCAGCGCCCTGCACACGGACAGTAGTTGTTTTGTCTTGCTACGCAAGGAGAGCTTGTCTTGTCTCAATATGGTAAAACCACTGTGAGCCAATGGGCAGCGGAATGTATATGTATGAGCATGCAGCCATTGCTGTAGGTACCTGTTAGAGCTACCCCTTTAGAGGTTTATGGTTTCACCCCCCCCCTGTGGTTCCTGTGGTTCCCCCCCCCCCCTGTGGTTCCTCTTGGTTTTCCCCCTCCCTTTTGTGGTTCTTCTGGTTCCTGTCTCCCCCCTCCCCCCCTGTGGTTCCTGTGGTTCCTCCGCGCGTGGTTGCTGCTGCTTTGTTGTTGCTGCTGTTCTTCTTCTTGTTCTTGTTCTTGTTCTTGTTGTGTGGTCGCCCGGGTCGGGGGGGGGGGGGATACCATTGGGGGGGGGGGGGGGTCGAGAACGCGGAGCGCGGGCACATATAAGGGGCTACTACAAGGGATACTATAAGGGTACTATAAGGGTTCTATAGTATAGGGGCCCAATAATTAGGTACTTGGGTTTAGGACAGTAGTTTTGTAGGTTGCTATTTGGGACAGTATATGATTAGGTACTTGGACCCTGAGGGTTCCTAGAACTGCCAGCTCTTAATCCCAAGCCCCTAAACCCTCTGCTTCAGTAACCTAGGTACGTATGTAACCCGGTACCCTGCTAGTTCAGCAAACTGCAAACGCACACTATTCCGTGACAAAAGCTTGCGAGCAACACGCACTCGGAAAGTGGGCTGCGAAACCCTGAAGCCTCCATCGGGGAATCCTCACCACGAAACCAAAAGCTCTGCAGTAACCCACATTCATCATGGGGGACTCTAGACAATTTGAAAAAAAGGGCTTTGGGTGATATTCTCGTATACATGTTGTAAGGAACCCTCAGGACGAGTACTGGTAACTTCTGAAGCTCAGAAAGCAGCACAGTAAGCCCTAACCCTACCTCCCCCTCCCGGGACTTCCTCCTCCAGGAGCACCATCGTGTGCTGCCACTGCGAGGCCTTCGCAAAAGCTCGTAAATACAAAGATGATACTGGAAAGAAAAGGGCTTCCATAGTAGGATTGGGTAGTATGGTTTGGGTAAGTGTTGTTCATATAGGTCTTGGGAGGTTAGGGTTCTAGGGCTTAGTGTTTAGAGTTTGGGGGTTTAAACGCCAGGTTTTTCGGCTTTAGGGCTTAGGACCATGTGTTTTCTGGGATGGATGGAGCCTGACTGACAGATCCTTAGAGTCAGGATCCTACCGTTAGAGTGTATAATGCTAGGGTCCAAGGTTGTCGAAATCAACTGGGCGGTTGTCAAAATAAGGGTCCCTGTGTGGGTCTTTAATATAATACGGCACCTATCGTTTAGGGTACCCAAAAAAGGACCCTAATTTTGACAACCACCCGACTGCATTGCTTGCCTGCGCCGTCCTGGACATGGCGGCGCCCAAGATCAATGTTGCATCACGGCCTGCGGACAAGGGTCTAGGGTTTATAGGGTTTAGGGTTTAGGGGTTTAGGGTCTAGGGTTTATAGGGTTTAAGGTTTATAGGGGTTTAGGGTTTTGGGTTTTTATGGTTGAGGGTGTAGGGTTTATAGAGTTTAGGGTTTATAGGGGTTTAGGGTTCCGGGTTTAGGGGTTTAGGGCTTATAGGGTTTGGGGTTTAGGAAAACAGACGGCAATCACAACTGCTACGATGTGGGTGGTTGTCAAAATGAGGGTCCCCTGTTTGGGTACCCTAAAGAATAGGTGCCGTATTAAAATAGGGACCCAAATAGGGACCCTAATTTTGACAACCACCCGATGTGACAGCTTGACTGACCGAAGGTGGCATGAACGAGATCTACCTATAGTCTCCATTGTAGTTCCTTTTTTTGGTTAACCAAAGTCTCCTTCATGGGATTCTAACCATAAAACTGGTTAACCAAAAAAAAGGAACTACAATGGAGACTATAGGTATCTGCCTTGGCCCGAAGCGTCTTGGGAGACGGAAATGTAGGGACCATACCATATAATATTTCGAATAGGTTCCGTGATTCATGCAAGGGCCTCCAAAAACAGTATTGGTAAATATTGAGACCCCTATATTGGGAGCTTTCCGAAAATAGAGGACCCGAATATAGTGCCCTGAGAAGTACCTAGTAGGATCGTTCCCTCTAAAATTTCGGAAACTCCCATATTAACCCTAACTACCGTGGACCCTGGAGTCATAGGTGCCCCCAAGGGCGTGAATTATGGGCACTAAGGCCCCCTACCCTCCCCTCTCCCTACTCCCCTACTTGGAGGGTCGGGGGACTTACTAAGTAGTTATTTTGTAGAGTTATAAGTACCATAACCCCAATTAGGATCCCTCTTAGGGTACTTATAAGTCTACTTACTACCCAGTTACTAAGTCCCCCGACCCTCCAAGTAAGGGTCCCCATGATAAAGGCCGGAGCGCCTGGAATCTGTGCCGCACGCAGCCAACCCACTGTTTGCTGCCACTGCGCTGCGCGACCGACGGAAGACACCTGAGCTGGTTTAGGGTTTAGGGTTTACGGGGCGTTGCAAGAGCAGACGAAGATGCGTGGATTGCGAAATGGCCACCCTTACAGTTGATGGATAAAGCCCTGCATGACCTTAAGGACCCTAAACTATGGGAATTATGGTATTATTCCTCATGCAGGATACTGTCCATCCACAGTATGACAAGGACTCTCAGGGGATCATATTCTAGACCCAAGAGTAACCTAGGAATAAAAAGGGTGCCCTTTTTGGCTTAAAGGGACTTATAAGGGAACCTGAACCCTAAAAAAGGGAATAAGGGCCTACTATAGGTCCTAGTATTCTTTCATCCGATCCCTCTATTTTGGCTTGCAGCTCAGGGGTCGATTTTTGAGGATTACGGCCTTTCACCCCCGACTTTTTTTTCTGTCTAACTTGCCATCGTAATGGTCTACAGGTTTGAGTTTTGTCTAGGTGCAAGGCTTAACATACCCTAAGGATCCAAGTGAGGTTTTAGATCGCAAATACTGTGATTCGCAAGAAATTTGGTACCCAAAGCCTTATTACTCATGTCGGTCGCAGTCCTGCTTCTCATCAAGGCCCTCAGAATCCTTATGGGGGTTTAGGGTTTAGAGGCTTAGGTTTTAAGGGTAAGTACAGTCTGATTACCCTGAACATTAGAACTAAAGAAGCCGTCCATACGTATGACTTTGGTACCCCCCAAAAGTCCCAGAGTCCGGTAAGTCGCACTTTGGCCAGATCTCCCGCAGCTTGCCGTGTTGAGCCCTTAAGTCCACCCTCGGGGTTTAGAGTTTAGGCTTAAGTGTTTAGGATTCAGGGTTCATGAGCAATAAAACGCTGGTTTCTGGTAACTGACCTGGTTTGTGTAATACGTACTGTGGCTACCCCAAGACGAAATCAACACACTTCTGCGTCCTGATCTTATCAGCACCTGTACCCGGAAGCATTATACAACCCTAAGCCATACAAGTGAAAAAGGCCATGTAAAAGGAACACACCTCAACAGCTACTGAGCCCAGAACTCTAAACTCTGAACGACTAAGATACCCCATACCCTACACCCTAGATCCTAAATCCTAAACCCTAAACCCCATACCCTACACCCTAAACCCCGAACCCCACACGCTAGATCCTAAGCCAATCCTAAGCCCAGCTGCTAAAGAACCGAAGGTGACGACATCGGCTTCAACCGCCTCCTGCCGTCGACACCAGGTTAAGGGCTCCTGTTTTGAGTATTTAAAGGCTCTTAGGGTTTAGGGGTTAGGGGCTTAGGGTTTAGGGGTTTAGGGTTAGGGGTTCAGGGGTTATAGGGGTTCAAGGTTATAGGGTTTAGGGGTTAGGAGAAGTTCTTTGTAATATTGGGCGCCCCGTGGGTTCTGGGGTGTATTATCCAATAACCATTGCAATAAGGAACCCCCAAAACAGCCTAGGTAATGGACCTTTGGAATTGCCTTTCCCCAGAGGCTTCATTTCTAGTACCTATAGTCTCCATTGTAGTTCCTTTTTTTGGGATAACCAAAATCTGTATTATTGGATCCTAACCATAAAACTGGTTAACCAAAAAAAGGAACTAGAATAGACACTATAAAGGGGACTCCAGAAAGTTGGAATATGGATTAATGGCAGGATCCCCTATAATTTACCTTAAAGGGATTACGATAATGATATTCCAACTTTCCGGCTTCTACTGTAGGTATGTTTAGAAGGACCATCTTGTAGGGCTAGGTTTACACAGGCCAGCTAAAAAACTACGGCAGATTTGGGTGGTTGTCAAAAATAGGGTCCGTTAATTGGGTACCCTAAATAATAGGTGCCATAGTATATCAAGGACCCAAAAAGGGACCCTAATTTTGGAGACGACTACTGGAGATTATGCAAAATCCCACCAAAAGCCAAGGGCGTTCCTAGACCCCCGAACTACCCTCTATTATGCCCCAAATACCTCCTATTTAAGGACCATAAGGGCTCTATCAAAGGGCTCTTGAAGGGTCCTAGTTAAGGGTTCTAAACACCTCTTCGCCCTCAAGACCTCTTACAGGACTTAAAGACTTGGTTGCTGAGTTCATAAGCCCCCCAAAATGCACACTCTTAGTTTTATGCTGGGTAACATTATCACCAAAAAGTGTAAAGTGTATCCACTCAGCTACTAAGCAGGAGGCTTTAAAGGAGAACCTTTCCTCCATCTGCCCGAGGAGTGCCAGTGCCTGATGCCAACTCCCGGCCGTCCTTTGGGGGTTTAGGGTTTAGGGGGCCGTCGGAAACAAGATTCTTTGAGGGCGTACTCCGCGGATTTCTGTAGGGGTTGAATATAGGGGCCTTAAATAACTAGAACAGGGTTTTGGGGGTCCGTTATACTAGAGTTACAATAAGGAACCCCCAAAAATAGTATAGGTAATCATCCAGGCCCCTAGAGCGTAGAGTTCGGGATTAGGCGTTTTTGTGGATCGGAGCTTCAATTTCCAGGTTTCCTCACGGGCTTACAAGGGTTTAACGCATCCTTTGTTGGTTGCCTTTGGGCTTTGGGTGCAGGGTTTCCTTTGAGGTTTCCTTTTGCAAGTTGCTTAATCAAAGGGGAAAAGGAGGGACCCCTAATGGGGACCCCCACCCTATAATGGCCTATGTAATGGGTATATAATAGCTATATTAAGGGTATATACCTGGTGGTCCCTATTAAGGGTCCCTGTAAGGTTCCCTTTAAGTACAATCTTAGAGCCCCCCCAACTACCCTGAAACATACCCTTAATACCCACCTGCAGGGACCAGAAACGCTCCATTAAAGGGCCATTGGGGGGTCCTGGTAAACCCTCAACCCCCCAAAAACCTAAACCCTGAACCCCCAAATCCTAAACCCTAAACCCCCCAAAAACGCTAAACCTAAGCCCCTGAACTACCCTAAACTCACCTTAAAGGGACTCCTAAATCCTGTACGGTTTGCTTTAAGAAAGAAACTCCTTCAGAAGGAGTTCAGGGTCTCCTTTAATGAGGGATCTGCCAGGCTCCCTTACGACTTCCCTTAAGGCTTCTACGGTTGATGATGTAAACTCCTGGGGTTCCTTTAAAGGGATCTATCAGGTTACCTTTAAGGGGTTCCTTTCAGGGATCTTCAGGGTTTTAGGGTTTAGGGTTTATGGTTGATGATCATCAACCTTACACCCTAAAACCCTAAAGATCCCTGAAAGGAACCCCTTAAAGGTAACCTTATAGATCCCTTTAAAGGAACCCCAGAGTTTATGTCATCAGCCCCAGTAGGTTTTGGGATCCCCAGATAAACACACAAACCGACTGAATATTGAGCTGGGAGGCTCACAAGCGCTGATGGTCGCATTGTACGAGACAGCCTGGGGAGCATCAAAAGGCTCAGGATTTAGGGTTCAGGGTTCCTCTAAAGGGATCTATAAGGGTTTAGGGTCTAATTAGGGTTTATATAGGGTTTAGGGTATATATAGGGTTTAGGGGTTTAAGGACTACCCTAAGGCTCCTAAGAGGGTCGTGGGCTTTCTGGGAAAGGGCTTCGGCTTTGGGGGCTAGGGTTCGGCATCTCACTACAAGGGTCCAGGAGCCTTAAGGTACCCTAAGGCTCCATATACACACGTCGTATATACTTGTCGGGCAAAGAAACCTTGCAACCGAGCTTTAGGCCTTACACACCCGGAGTCACGCAATTTAAAACACTGGCCCTAGATTTTCGGGAGCACCTTGAAGGCCAAAGTACAGACCACATTGCTGCATGCCGCGTTTGAGATGGCATTTGGGTAGTTGTAAAATTAAGGTCCCCCCTTTGGGGTGCCCTAAATAATAGGTGCCGTATTATAATAATCGGGACCCAAGAAGGGACCATCATGTTGACAACCACCCATAGAGGTACTTCATACCTTTTCGGGTTTGTGATGCCCCACACCTTTAAACTTTAAACCCTCAACCCCAAATCCTATAGTAAACGCCAGAAAGTTGGAATATGATTATCCTAAACCCTTTATGGTAAATTATAGGGTATCCTACCCTGAAACCATATTCCAACTTTCTGGAGTTCCCTTTAAAGCAACCCTAATCGTAATCATAGTTGTTAAGACGGCGGATCCCCGTTCCCCTGAAGTCGATGAGCGCGAGAAGCATTTGGAACACTGTTCCAAATTGCAAGGAGACCCTGATGTAGGGGCCTTAATAACTAAAACTGCTGGGGCCCATTATACTAAAGTTATGATAAGGATTTAGGCCTCTGCAGAAGCATATCTCAACCCTAGACCCTAAAGATGGCTAGTTTGGGACAGTATTTTGAGCAATGGTCCTATCCATAGCCCTAAGGGTCCAAGTAGCTAACTATCATATACTCGTAACCTACATATCCGAAACCCGAGTACCTAGTTATTGGGTCCTTTGGACCCTTAAAGCCCTACTATAAAATCCTCTAACCCCCTTATAGAACCCTTTAAACCAACCTTAATAAACCTTTAAAGGGACTTGGGTCCTCTGGACCCTTAGTGTAGTCCTATGAAATTCCCTGCAATACCGAGACCCCTGAGTTGTACATCGGTTTCGTTCTTTGACTTTCGCATGGTTACAATAGGGTTCAGGGCTCAAGATCGAGGGCTGCTTAACCGGGTTTAGGTTTTAGGGTTTAGGGTTTAAGGTTTAGGGTCCATATGCCAACGAGAAGCGCTGGCACGCAAGCTGTCCTGGTGCTGCCACACGTGCAGCCACAGCGCCTGCGATGCACCCTGCCCTAAAGAAACCAGGAACCCGAAACCTAAGCCCTACCCTGAAGAAACTAGGGAAGATGCTAGCTGTCCGAACCGGACACCTGATTCCTCACAACGAAAGCCTGCATCAGTCCCTTGGAAGTCTAGTAGCTACGACCACACATACCCGGACCAAGAACAATGCCTTCCATCCTGCAAACCAACTTCCTAATTCTTCGTAGGCATGCGACATACTCTATCTCTACAGCAGCGCGATTCTAGCCTCCAAGGTGCCCGGGCATCCTTGCGCTTCCGGTACCTGAACCCCACAACGGCTGCAGACTTTTAGCATCAACGACCTGCCTGGTATATGCACAGATGTGAAACGGCCGCTGCATCAGGCAGACGCACCCAAAGGGTCCAAGTGAGGGTATATTATATGGGTAGCTCAATAAATTAGGGTCCCTTTTGGGGGTCCTTTTTATAAGGGTGCCGTACTACCCTGTTTTGGAAGAACTACTCATATACTTTGCGGCTCAAACATCTGCTCGGGACCTACGTTTCTGATACTTGGACCCCTTGGGACAGAAAGCTTCGGGGGCCTCCACTCTGCCATATGTCGTCTGCCTCCGCCTAGAAATAGAATAAATAGAAGCAGTAGTAGTAGTAGTAGTAGTAGTAGTAGTAGTAGTAGTCGTCGTCGTCGTAGTCGTAGTCGTAGTCGTAGTCGTAGTCGTAGTCGTAGTCGTAGTAGTAGTAGTAGTAGTAGTAGTAGTAGTAGTAGTAGTAGTAGTAGTAGTAGTAGTAGTAGTAGTAGTAGTAGTACTAGTAGTAGTAGTAGTAGTAGTAGTAGTAGTAGTAGTAGTAGTAGTAGTAGTAGTGGTAGTGGCAGTAGCAGTAGCAGTAGCAGTTGCAGTAGCAGTAGCATTTGCAGTAGCAGTAGGAGTAGGAGTAGTAGTAGTAGTCGTCGTCGTAGTGGTAGCGGTAGTGGTTGTTGTTGGAATAGTTTGGTCGAGAGGAGAGTAGAGCAGAGAAGAAAGGAGTACAGCAGAGTAGAGCAAAGGAGAGAGTCGGGTCGAGTAGAGTCGTAGTGTAGTAGTGTCGTAGTGTTGGAGTTAGTAGAGTAGTATCAGACTAGTTATAGATTAGCAGAGAAGGCGAGTAGAATCATGGGAGCACGGTTGTCGGAGTACAGTAGTACTAGTGCGTGTTACATCCGGGTAGTACTGAGCTTGCTGTGTTCACTTACTACCTTAACGCTGCTGGCACCTTGAAGTGAGATCCCGGACCCTAGCCCCCAAAGCCGAAACCCTCCCCCAGAAAGTCCCAAGACCCTCTTTGGAGCCATAAGGCATACCTGTTCCGGCAGGAGAAGAAGAGTGGAGGTCAAAAATATTCGGCAACAAGCTCAGAGCTGCACTCCAGACGATAGATGTGTGGAGCGGGATCACGAAGGATCGCCCGGACTCTCCTGGGTGGTGTATATATATATATATATATATATAGATATGTATATATACACAAACAGTTTTATCGGCCCAAAACAGAGTATTCATGAACAGATACTTATATGAAAACATATATGGGACATCACTCATACCCCAAAGTGGCCACCGAGCGGCTCAGAAGTAGCTATGTCAATGGCTCGGAGGCCTCTGTTGTTCCGAATCTCAGGGTCAGCCCGCTCACGCAGCAGGAATGTAAGGAGGCCGTCGTTGCCAAACATGGTGCACCAACCCAGAGGCGTTGCGCTCAAGTTGCTGAGGAAATGCAACAGTGTACTTGATCTGCGGGCACATCGGCTGCTGACCCGGGCCATCAATTCGATTGCCTTGAACATACCCTCAGGACGGCAACGCTGACTGACGTCCGCCTTGTTGTCTACCAACAACTGCGCATTCCGCAGATCGTTGTCGGAGTCACCCCAAAATGCGAGAAGGTGGAGGGGTGATGAGCTTGCAAATCCGCCCTTTCCGCTCAGCACATCTGCGCGAAGCTCCAGAAGTCTGGCAACCACTTCACAAGGTGATCCAACTCCGCTCACGGCGTAATGGATGGGAGGCAGCTGGGCTATCGTTGTTCCCAAATTCACCTCAGCACCGTGCTGGATCAGTAGGTCTATGGCACCCACGGTATGACAATGGCACAGAGGTGACGCGGCATTATGGGTGCTGCAGTTTGGATCAGCTCGAAGCTCCAGCAGCGTCTGCAAGACTTGAAGGTCATGACTTCGGAACTCCAAAGCCCAGTGCACAGGCATGTACTCCGCGTTAAAAGTTTCCTAGGGCCCCCAGTACCCCTTAATACTAATCTTTCCTATTATTCGGTTTCAGTATATGGAGACCCCAAACCAAAAAGGGCAAAAGGGTACTACTCAGGAACCTAGTAGACCCTAATTCCCCATAGATCCTCTTGAGGATCCCTTATAGGATCCCTTTAACGAACTTTTAAAAAAGGGTACGATACTCAGAACCTAGTCTCAAGCATACCTGGCGCACGTGTGTGGAGGGAGGCCTTGGCTTTGACTAGACTGCGAAGCAGTTCATGATCTCCAGAAAGAGCAGCGCAAGCAACGGGACCAAGACCCTTGTGCTGCCCCACAGCTTCGAAGAAGCAGAAATCCTGAAGGAATTCCGTCATACTGCACTTCTTGCTTCCACATCCAACCATCTGCTCGAAGAGGGAAAGGTACAATCGGTAAGCCGTCTTGCTCTTGGCTTCACGCAATTTGGACAGATAATTGATCAAGGCTTTCCGGACAAGTAGACTGCACGAGGCCTTGTCGTTGTCAACAGCGAAGTTGCCCGAGTAAACTGGATAACGCAAAGAAGAAAAGCCTGTCATGTATTGAGCAGAGTCTTCACCTTTTACTACGACGATGGGAACCTTCGATCTTGTGGAAAAAGACTTGCACCAAAACCTCACTGGCCCAAAACCCCAGGAAATAAAAATTGAAACTTTCAGAATAGACTACCTTATAAGAACCCCAAAAGTTGGAAAAGTTGAGTTTACAGCCAATAAGAAACTCGGTCCGGCACCAGCCTCGGTCGAGCCAGCTATTCATTGAGCATGGTGCTCCAGTGTCATGGTGCATGCATGGAGGCACCAAAGCTAAAAAAGTCCCACCGGTCCACGTAGCTGTGTATACTCCACACAAAGCGAAGCTGCTCGTCGGCTAACCCCGATGACGCACACCCCACAAGCTGAGGGACAGAGATGTAGTCCAACCACAAATAGGCACCCTTCAATTTGTCCAGCTCTGCTTTCTCGCCCGTGCTACCGAAAAACTGTGTAATGACATCGTATTCTATCGTCACGGTCTTTGCCAAAAGGTTTCTCAGAAGCCCTTGTAGCACTCGCAGTTGCTCAGCATTGGGATCAGGATGGTGACGACCGAGCCACTGGTGTGAGACAAAGATCGTGAACAGCTCCGGGCTCCACTGATGCAGAAGAAGTTCAGTCTTCAGGGCTTGATGGTGCTTTAGCTTCCCTTTCATTGCAAGGAGGTGCGCAACTTCCATCACCCAAATGGGCGCAAGACCCTCATGCTCAGGGCCAGCGCCGACATCCACAGGACGACTGCAAGACATCTCCATCGCTTAGCTCCATGCAAACGCGTCCAAGTACCTAATAATCTTTTAAGTTTGCTTTCCCAAACGCTAAGCTACGCAACTAAGTACCAGGACACCCCAATGGCCTTCTAATGGAGCCCTTGGGGTCCTTAATGGGGGGTATTTAGGGCATATAAGCAGGTAGTTGGGGGGTCTAAGTATTTAACTAGTTAGTAGGTTCTTTGAACCCTGAAGGTTCGGGCTCTCGGCCTGCTCGAACACTAAACTCTGTGCACGATCAGCATCATGCCCACTCCGGTTCGAAGAGGTTTACGTAAACCTCTCCATCCTTTGTAAGCCCTCAACTCTCAACCCTACAATTACAATACGGTAAATTTCGATGAAAACCATTACGGAACCCTATGGAATACTATCTTATTCTAGTAACTGCTATACAGGTCCCGGTGGATATAGTAGATCATGGAATATGATTGCAGACACCACAAAAAACCCAAAGCCATAAAACCATAAGTTCGGTAGTTCGCATACGTATCCCATGTTATCACCTTCAATTTATCACCCTAAATCCCAAGCCGTTTTGCTTACCTTCTTGGATTGGAATCTACCAGGTTGGGGCCGTTCGGGGTCCCCGAGTTCCACTGGTGTTCGGATCCAAGCGGAGAACGGCAGAATACGAAAAAAATCAAAGCCACGCTTTGACCTCGACCACCAGATTTTGAGGGTCCAAGCAAGCCGAAAATCAAGAACCGCGTAATGTAATTACCTATACTGTTCTGTGGGTTCCTTATCATAACTATGGATTGATGGGCTTCCAAACCCTATTCTGAGTATGAAAGCGCCTATGTTATTGTACTGCGAACCCTTCACCCAGACCCTAAACTCCCAAAACCATCAAACCCGAAGTTGTTTAGAGCCACAGCTGAATCCCGCGGAGCATGTCAGACCAATATACACTTGAGCCCTGTTCTTAGCACCTCAAGGCCTCTGTCACTTCAGGTTCCAGTGATTCACGAAAACCTTTTATTTAGCTTTAAACTTCAACTGGGCCGGAAGACTTCATGGTTTTGGACCCGGAAGCCGTAGAACGGAATTCTTATATAGGCTTAAGAGTGCTTTAGGATTAGAGGCTCGAGCAGTTGACAAGTATGGAAAGGTCTGAGCTTTGGCGCTCCGGGTTTGGGGTGCTTAGTTTAAAGCACTTGTAGCCCAAGAAATTTGCCTTCGCGAGTTTGGTTTGGCGGCTTTGGGTTTCGGTACATACCTCCGCAGGTAAATGACATCCATGCGCGAAGCCTGCTGCCACTGCCCGCTGCGCTCGCAGGCAGAAATGTTCACGTGGCGGCCTCGGCGTCAAGCTCAACAGGCCTTGTGCTAACGTCCATATTGCACAGCCTTGGGCTACCATGAAGCAGTATCAACCGAAAACTTAAGACAACAAAACCATCAGGTAACGACGACTGCAACGCTTTCGGATTGACGGCTTTAGGCAAAGCTCCCCTCAGGAGACGATCGCCATGCCAATTTCATTTTCTTAACCGAGCAGTCCTGAAACTGAAATGTTCAACATGAAATCATGAGTAATCACCTCGGGGGTTCTCATTCCGAGACACCAGAGGATCCCCAAACTGGAACTCGACAGAAGGTGGCCTAAATTCCAATTCATCCGTCAAGATGGGGTCTTGTTGAGGGCCCCAGTGCTGTATCTCTAGAGAACCTACGACCGAACCCAATGCTTAGACCCGAAACCTTGAAACAAAACCCTTTTGCTGCAAAATAGCACCGAAGGCCTAAGCACACGAATCGTACGTTTTTCGGCCGCAAAAACTTCCCCTAAGGGTCCAAAACACCCAATAATCAGGTACTCGGTTTTAGGAAAGTAGTTATGTAGGTTACTATTTTGGAGAGTATATGATAATCAGGTACTTGGACCCTGGGGGTTCCTGCTTAGCTTAGGACCTTGTGGGCTGAGGTATTCAGTATTTCAGTACCCGGACCCTGCCATTTATTCAAGGAAGAACACCCACTCAGGATGCACGGTGAGCTATATCGGGAGTCGGATCTCAAGTTGTAGGAGGCGGAGGAAAAACATGTCGATGTGCATTGGAAAGAACTGTCGGCTTCGTGTCATGCTGGGAAGAAGAACGTACGCGGCTTAGGCCTTGGGGCTCAATGTTGAAAGTCGAAGAAGGTGTGCTTGCTTACCACATGGACACTTTTTCTCCTTGGCGTGATCGTTACACACTTTCCGTTTCTCCCTGCAGATGTCGTGGCTGCCGCATGCAAAATGTGATGAATAGTGTGGCCCTGTAGGACTTTAGCGACTTCGAGCGATTTGAAGGCCATTATGAACTCGGACTGCGGATCCCTGTACTCCAACTCAATGACATGCCACAACTCCCTCGTGCTACCACATATGGGGAATCAAGCTAGGAAAAAACGCTTGATGCTCCAAGACAACCCGCGGCTTCGCCGCATATCACCACGTATTTGGGACACATGCTTTCGAACTGCACTGACCTGTTGACAAACTTTCAGGGCATCTTCGGAATAGGACCTGACTTGACCTCCAGAAACCTACCTGACTTCTTACGCACCTTAGATAATCAAGGACACTGCAACAAAGATGAACAACGCTCCAGGATTTTGAGGATTTAGGTAATCCTTAAACCTTGGACCCTAAATCCTACAACCCGATCAATCCTAAACCCTTAGTTCGATCGTCTCATTGGTATGATTCTTATTACTAGTATCCCCATAATAACACCCAGTATATACGCTTTTCGGGTCTAGGTTAAGGGCATTTAGTCTTGATGGGGGGTTACGTTTAAGACATAGGACCAGAGTGTTGGGATAAGGGTTAAGTTTTGCATCTTTCGCGATTTTCTTATATAGGTCCCTGAACCCTAAGCCCCTGGCTTGGGAACCCTAGACCCTAAACCCTAAACCGTGAATTTTTGGTGGTGGATCAAGTATTGAACCGAGCCTCGAAGCCAGAAATCCTAAACAGCCAAGCCTGCCCCTTAGTAACCTAGACCCAAGAGTAACCCAGGCATAAAAAGGATGCCCTTTTTGGTTTAAAGGGGCTTATAAGGGAACCTGAACCCTAAAAAAGGGAATAAGGGCCTACTCTGGGTCCTAGTAACTTAGCATGTAAGGGTTGCAGGGTATATCCCAAGGCGACGCTACTTCAGCGCCTAAGCCCTGCAACGCCGATAGCCGAAATCCTGCCTGGACCCTAGAATGTAGTCCCGTAACCAATCTTGCAGATCACCCAGGAATTTTAGGTTTAGGGTCCGGGTCTACCTCAAACCCCAAACCTTAAACCTTCATGAATCCTAAACCCTAAATTTCTAAATCAAAAGACAGAGCCCTGAACATTTGAAGAGTAAGCCGAACCAAACTTCCCAAAGCCCCAGCAAATAAAACACAAAGGACCAAAACCCCTCGCCTAAGCAAAAAAGACCCACTACCAGGCCCAGCGAAAAAAAATCACAAGAGATCATAAACCCCGCAACTAAGCAAAATCCTCGTACAACCCTGTAGACACTTCATTTTCGCGGAAACTTGTACAGGACTTTCGGTCTCGTAACTACAATTCCGCGTTGAAGAACACCCATCCACACACACAGTTACATCTGTATATGTATATATGTGCACACATACATACACATATGTGTGCGTTGATTCCCATTATATATATATATATAAATATAGATATTGGCATTTACGTATTTGTTCATATTTGTATGCATGTACATAATATATGCATATGAGCATGTTACGGACTGTATGTCTGTGGGCATGCGTGCATTCTGACTATTTAAAAGTACATCTAGAAATACACTTTTCTTCTTCAACCTCTGTCGCACGAGTGTCATGCTAGAGGAGCAAGAGGCCGCGGTCGCAGCACTCCCTCGGTAGTAAGATCCATGATGCTGCCAGTGGCGCATCCTGACAAAATCTGTCACCGGACTCTGCCCAGCACCAGGCTCAGATGAGCCCCAGGAGATAAAACTCAAACATCAGTCTGACCCTCCTACAGTGCTCACATCGCCCTGCTCGGGACCTGCTCACTTTGTGATTTCTTGCAATTCGTCGACAAGGCTTTGGAGCTCCCTTGCCATGCCGGATTGAGGCGCCTGTCCACGCCGCTCCCTCGCACCACTGAGTACCATGGCCGCGACAACAGCATCAATAACGGAATCAATCTGCTGATGCCCTGCCAAATGCACTTTAACGATGCCGCGATCGTAGGCTTTTTTGATCTTGCAAACGAAGATGAGCTGGGCCAGCGCATGCGGATCTGCTGACTGCTTGCGATGCTCATTGATGCACTGCACGTGCTCTTCCGACATGCCCTGCACATCCAACGCGGCCTTCAAGAAGCATGACCAAACATGAACATGAGGCTCACCAAGAGGAGCAGGCTGACCATTGTCGCGAGCCTGCTTGCTGGCAGCTGTATATGCTTTCATGGTGAGGCGGGCTTCAGTGACAAATGCTGACATCTCGGTGATGGTGAGGGTACGAAACGTCGCAGCCTGTAGTTCACGCACTTCAAGCTCTGCTTTCAGAGTTAGCTTCGACACCAAAAGCATGGCCTTGGCCAATAACGCTTCTGTGCCGATGGCCTGCCGTTTCTGTGACGCTTGAGGCTTGCCCTCACCTGCCCGCTTCGTCAAGTCCCATCCGTCCATGACGACACCAGCGAAGCAAACGGGCCCCTTGAGCTTTTGAGTCAAAAGGCTACAGGCGACATCACTCGGGCCCCGTGTGAGGGCCACCAAAGTGAGCAACCACATGATCATGTAACTGATCCAGCGAAGTCGCTGTAAAATCACATTCAGGACACATGTAATCAACAGGTTGTACTGGCTCCAATACGGTGAAACTACCACGACCGGTGCATTTCTTTCGTTGCAAAGATGTGCGTACATGCTGGCGTGCGGTGCGAATGTTTGCGAATACATGACGACACCACGGACATTGGTTTGTGATGGTAGCCCGGAAGTACTGTGGGAGTTCTCCGTGTGTTCCGCCACGTGTCCAACGCATGTGCTGAACAAGCTGCTGCTTGCTGGGAAAAGTCTCTCCACATACAGAGCCATCATCCAGACAACATTCACATTTGCAAAGCAAGCCTTCATCAACAGGTGCAGGTTCATCGGGGACGTCCCGCGATGGCATGCACCACCCCGGTGGAGGTACTTCATGGGAGCGGAACTTGCTGCGCAACTCAGATATATCCACCAACAGAAACTCATGGCGATATTCCGCAAAGATTCCAAAAATGTTGTCTTGCAAACTTCCAACCCAATGACGTCCACTATCCAATTCACCCAGGGCTTGCACATCTTGCAAGAGCTGCGAGGCCCAAGGGTTGTGTCAGTGCTACAGCGAGGCCGATGCGGATTATCCCATGGAAACCGACCAAACATTGCGGCGAGCACATTGCTGTGTAGCACAGGCCGAGACACCATACTTTGCAACCAACGCAATCGCCGAAATACACACGCATATACACATAAATATATATATATATATATATATTTCCATGTAGATATGGCACTAAGGCATACACTATGCCTACGCCCTTCTTGCGAAATGTATATATACAATGTACAAACGCAAAGAGTGATATTGTACAGCTACAATTTTACATGTATGCATGTGTATGCATTATATATATATATATATATATATATACATATATATATATATATATATATATATACACAAGCGCATACGTGTTCATGCACACGCGCACACACACACACAGATACATCTATACGTCTATACATATCTATACATCTATCCATATGCATTATGTGTATATATATATATATATGTATATATACACGCCGATTGAGATATCCGTTTCTAGAGCTACATCTTCATGTATACCTTTATCTATCTATCTACCTAGCTACCTACTTACCTATCTGTTTATACACATATATATATATATATACACACACACATATGTGAGTATCCGCGCTAAAGGTACAGAGAAGAGCGAAGCCCCGAAACCGCCGGGCCACTGATTTGGTCCGTCTTGCAGAGCTTCGTCGCCAGACGCTCGAAGAGGAGCCTTGAGAGCTGCGAAGGCTTACGGGCCCTGTTAAAGGGATGTATAGGGATTCCCTAGGGTTTCCTTTAACGGGGTCTATGAGGGTTCCTTTAAAGGGATCGATGAGGGTTCCTTTAAAGGGATCTACGAGGATTCCCTAGGGTTTCCTTTAAAGGGATCTATGAGGGTTCCTTTACAGGGATCTATGAGGGTTCCCTAGGGGTTCCTTTAAAGGCATCTATAGGCGTTCCTATAAAGGGATCTATAGGGGCTTGGGAGCTGTGCAGGCTAGGGTTTCTTAGGTTTTACGGGCTTTGGGGCTTTGGGTTTAGGGGGTCCTTTAAATAGAAAGGACTGAGAGGGTTCGGGTTTAGCGTTTTGGGGATCATTAAACTAAGAGGGGTTTCGGGGTTTAGGGGCTTGGGGCTTTTTAGGGTCCCTCTAAAGCGATCTATAGCGGGTTCCTTTAAAGGGATCTACAGGCGTTCCTCTAAAAGGATCTGCCAGGGTTCCTTTAAAGGGATCTATAGGGGCTCCGTAAAGGCATCCATAAGGGTTCCTCTAGGGGTCTAGAAGTGTTCCTCTTGAAGGGATCTAAAGTGGTGTAGGGCCTCTGTGGGTTTCGTTGTTCAGCGGATTTGGGGGTTCCGTTTTACATCAGAGTTTGCTTGTTGTCAAGGGTTTAGGGTTTAGGGTTTAGGGTTTAGGGTTTGGGGTTTAGGGTTTAGGGTTTGGGGTTTTAGGGCTTTGGAGTTCCGGGCTTCGCGTGCAAAGTTCAAGGCTAGGGGTTTAGGGGTTTAGGGCTCGGGCTCAGGTGTGGAGGGTTTAGCGGTTTAGTCTTCAGGGGTCTATATGCGTCCGCGTTCCGCGTTCTCGACCCCCCCCCCCCCCCAATGGTATCCCCCCCCCCCCGACCCGGGCGACCACACAACAAGAACAAGAACAAGAACAAGAAGAAGAACAGCAGCAACAACAAAGCAGCAGCAACCACGCGGAGGAACCACAGGAACCACAGGGGGGGAGGGGGGAGACAGGAACCAGAAGAACCACAAAAGGGAGGGGGAAAACCAAGAGGAACCACAGGGGGGGGGGGAACCACAGGAACCACAGGGGGGGGGAGGGGGATTACCATGGGGGGGGGGGGGGGGGGGGTGCGCAGATGCTGGCGCATATAGAGGTTTTGCTTTAAGGTGCAAGGGCTTTAGTGGTTTGGGGTTCTCTCAAGAGGGCACACGTCCCCGTCAGAGCTGTTTTCATGGGTCCCTGAAGAATTCATTTCAGGGTTCTTCTTCGGCTTGATAGTTTTTTGTATCATGCTTTCCAAGGTGCTTCGAAGTGTGAACATCTTGAGAAAACCAGTCGAACAATATTACTCTCATAATTATGACCCCTACCTTTCGGTCGTCTCTGCGCTACGATACCCGTAGCACTGACCCAAAACAGCAACAATGACAATGACGGCTGAAACATGTCAGCTAGTGGACTGACCTTTTAGATTCTAGCTGCACTTGCCAAGTTAGTGTGCGCCCAACATCCGGTCGCAAAAGCATCGTGCATAAAACCCTCCATGCATCTTCTCAGGTCTTGGGCGTGAGAGAAGCTCCTACAACCCCTAAACCTAGCCCCTGCAAACTATCCGCCCTGTAACTTTTACCAGACCCTGGTGTAATCCTCGGTATCCTTACACATCTTTCCTAGAACCCATGAAACCCTTCTGAAACCATGATAACACACATCCATCGTGATAAACCCGCAAACCACATATGAAAGCCTCGTCTCACACAGGCAAAGATGCGAAAACTGTGTGCACTGCACTCTGCAAACCCTAAACTTTAAACATGCGCACCAGCCCGCAAACCCCAATCCAAACGAAACCTGTGAAACCTTCAAAACCACCGGGTTTCAATCAAGAGCTCCTAGTCAGCTGCCAGCAGCTGCCGCGGCCGCAGGCCGAGGCTGCGGCGTTGGCGCCAGCAAGGTCTGCATTAAGAGGCCTCTTCTGCTACGGGTTCAGGGTTTGGGTTTAGGGATCTTCCAATGTCCCTGAACAGTTTAAGGAATATTCCTTGAGGGAGCTTGGAAGATCTGGGTAGGGTTGTGTTTGTGGATGTTTTTAAGGCTTTTCCAAGATGGTTTGTAGGCTGTAGATGGTTTGTCTTTATGGTGTCTTAAGTATCAGTATATATATATATATGTATGTATATATGTACACATGTGTATAAAGATAGAGAGAAAGAAATGGAGATGGACAGAGAGAGAGAGAGAGGCAGAGAGGCAGAGATCTATATATATATATATATATATATATATATATATATTCATATACACATGTATATAGATATATGCAATATACAGTGTATCATGTTTGGAGTCAATGTGCTCTCGAATCGCTTTACAGGTTTTCATAAGCAACTTGCTGTTTAGGGTCGCAGGGTTCGTACCTGGTCATGAGCAAGGCCTTGTGCTCTGGAAATTTGCATGGGTAGCTACATATGTATGTACATGCATACAGTATACACATACCTGCAGAAGGCAGGTAGGGCTTGATGCGGCTACGTAAGTTCCGAAGAGTTGCACGTGTGCAAGAGTGATTATGACCGCCACAACCACCTGGAGCTACCTTACTCACAGCACTCTTGCAAATCTACGAGCCCCCGCAAAAGATGGGTGTCATTTGGATGGAACACTGGGACTTAGTAGAAGCCATACAGTTGGCCTCCTCATGCCCTTAAGGTAAAGTATATGGGATTCTAGCAGTAATCATCCTAAACCCATGTTCCAACTTTCTGGGGTTCGCTGTATCGCAATGCAGCAAGTCCCAAGAGTTTCCGAAAATAGGGGACCCTAATGTAATTCCGCTACTAGTAGGATCCTTATTATACGGACCCCAAAATACCGTACCACCAATTTTCGAAACTCCCAAATACCCTGTGCTCAAACCAGGCGAAGCGCTGGGGCGATCTTTTGAAAAGCCACAGCCCCTGCTCCCAGCGAGCACCTGGGGCCATCTTTGGATCTCCTTTTTGGGCTTAAGGGTATGGGGTTTGGGGTTCAGGGGTTTTGGGGATTCAGGTTGCTGGTTGTTGGAGGATTCCACGACTTCCTTAGCAGTGAGAAGCTTGGGGTTTATTCGGGCTTCAGTTTACCTGTATCCCCAAACCCTACAAAATAGTAGGTTATGACCCCTTAATTAGAGGGTCTGACCCTTAAAACGGTAGGTTTTGGGATCCCCAGGTAGGATTTAGTGCCTTTGGGGCTTCGCGTTTGTAAAGCACTTGGGCAGCTCGTGGAAGGCTTACCAGCATAAGGCTCTAGGGCTCCACAGCTTAAGGCGCCAGAACTTCAATGGCTTGGACAGCTGTGGGTCTTGGTGCGCAGGGCTGCCAGCCATAACGACTGCATGTGGCATGCTTGTGAGTGTTATTCATTGGGTTTGCAAAGTTTCTGACACGATGATTCGGGGCTTATCTTGACTCGGACCCAAGGTAACTCAAAGGATGCAGGTAGTACATAGTATATAGTACATGCTTTTGAAGCCCAAGTATCTACTAAGAGCCTATCATAATGATACTTGGGCCTTGTGGCTAATACGTCAGGAGTTTGTCTATCAGGGCGGGGTAGTCGAATCCAAGGATCCATGAATTGGACTTTGGGGTATTGGTCTTAGGGGAGCACCCCTTAGGGTTCCTACGTTATCAACCATATATATATATATATATATATACATATATATACATATATATATATATATATATATATATATATACATAATATACATATATGTATATGTATATATATATATATATATATATATATATATATATATATATGCATACATATGTGTATACACGCAAAAACCAAACTATGTATTCCAAAATTGTTGACGCCCCTATCATCGGTTCCAGAACATGGGCTGTGGCAAGGCCCAAGATCCCAAACGCCTGCCTAAACCCTGACAAATCCCAAAAACACTAATGGATCCTTATGTATGCCCCTTTAGAGGATAACTGGTTGGTGTGCAAACGAAACATTAGTAGAGTCAAAATGTCATATAGAACTCTTGTGTCAAAACCCTTGTGCCTTGTAGAAACTTCTTGATCAACGCAACCCCTGTCGGAGAACCCAGCAACCACAGTCACAGGCTGTAAAGCTCAGGTACCCGCTGCCCCAGGCTAAAGCTCAGGTCCTGTAAAGTGTCCTGTAAATAAGTTCTTTGACTAGTGGGAGCCCGGGAAAGCTCTCACGATTGCGACAAAATCGCAGCAGAAAGGCTCTTCTCACAGATGTTGATGCAGGCGTTGTAGCTCACCGCGTTACCCTTGAGGTGCCTGCAACAATGGGATACATAGGGGATGTCGGCAACTGAAATCCAGAGACCGCAGGACATAAGATGGCCCAAACAGGAATTAACCTGGAGACAATGAATGTGCTTGCCTTAACTAACCGCCACAAAAGACCTTGTTTAGGTTCCCTATAAGGAAATCATAACAAGGAATCCGGTCCAGGTAGGGCTTTGTAGAGGGTAGGTAGCGCCTTGTGGGGGAACTACGGCCTGGTTCCCGACTTGATGGCAAGGTTAAACATCTTTTGTGCTGATTCGAGAAGATTCGATTAAGGTGCCATACGGAGTACTTGGGGATTGGGGCTTAGGTTAATTCGTATTCAGCTACTTTGCCACTTCACGACTTTTCCACTTCAGCATTACACCTTGGATGCACTTGCTGTCAAAAGGGTGTTAAGGCCGCGAAGAGGCTGGGTGCAAGACTCAAAACCCCATCCCTAAACCATGAGCCGGCAACGGATGTATCCATGATGATGACGTGAGGATCCCTGACACGAAACAGATGCTATAGGTTGGGGTCTACGGTTTCGGTTGTATTGTATGAGGCTTGGAAGACAGTGGTAGGGTTTAGCTTGGGGTGCATGAAGCCCGTATGGACTCAAAACTCTCAAGTTTCGAAGCACGATGTACTCTTGACAGTGAGCCCTGTACGGTGGCATGAAAGCCCCCCTGCCGCACCTATGACAGCGCAACGCCGCAAGGAATTGTAAAGCTCGCGGCCACTCCTGCGATGGAAGAAACAGCGATGTTGGCCTACCTTACCCTAAGGGTCCAAGTAGTCCTTGTTTATGGTTTTTGATACCCAAAAAGGCCCTAAAGTCCCATAATAGGGAGTACTTGGACCCTCTGGGTTACAACAGCCCTACCTGCAATCGGACAGATACCAGGAACTCGTAATGAGGAACACCAAGAGCACGGCCTTGGGGTGAGTTATTAATATTATAGGCCTTTGCGCTTTCTGGGCTTCGGGGCCTGTGCTCGAACAAAAGATAGCGATGGCGGACGTACTCTTATATGACAAGCATACTGAACCCAAAACTAGTAGTGGCAACAAGTCTGGGTACAATGCTTACACGATACAACGATATCCTTAAACCCAACACCCGAACTCTATGAACGATCCCCAGGGCTCCAGACAACCTAAACAGTAGGTTACTGCGGTATACAATATATGAGAGCTTCCGAAAATGGGGGACCCTACTACTGTACCCTAAATAGTAGGATCCTTGTTGTAAGAACCCCAAAATGAGGTGCCCCTCATTTTCGGAAACCCCCATAACTGGGGCCCTACAGGGAATGAGTCCGGACTCCTCCCGCTGGAGGCTCATTGCAATACAATCAGGCCGTTTCCTTAGGGTTCCTTTAAGGGTCCCTTTAAAGGGTTCTATAATGAGGGTTCCGATAAGGGCTGGATACAGGGACCTTAATTGTTACCTATACTTTTAAGGTTTTAGGGTATAGGGTTTAGGGTACGGGGTATGTAGGATTTTGGGCGCTCTGCAAGGCAACTTCGAATCCGACAGGCCCTGCAAAAAGTGGAATGGCAGAGCGGCACGAAGGACAAAGCGGAACCGAAGCACTAGATCCCATTGCTCGCGCGCTGAAGCCCGGCCTAGACCCTAAATCTGAACGCTAAGCCCTAAGCCCTAAACCCTGAATCTAAAACTTAAACCCCTAAACCCTATACACCTCAAATCATATTAGAGATCCGGTCATAATTTGAGGTGTATTCCTTCATTGATGGATACTGGAAGGTCCGAGTGAACTTCAGACAGAGACTCTGGTAGTCCTTCGGTTCGTAGCTGCTCAGCGTCGCATTGTAGGTGATGATGTCTGCGGGTATCTGTCAGGGCCAAAGCATGTGTTTTTGGTACAAATCAGGGATTTAGGGCTGTGTTGGAGTTTACAGGGTCTGGCCCAATACCCTCTTTCGGGGTATTCAATAGGGCCCAATACTCCTTGACTACAGAAGGTTTTCACAAAGCTGCGAGTCACCACTTAGATGAAGGATTGGAAAATTCCAGACTTCTGTTTGCAGCTTAGTTAGACCATAGCCATAACAGCTTTATTCCGTAAGTAAGGAGTATGTTGCACCAACCAAGACTGAAGCTTTAAACACTAAAACTGTCTAGCCTGTAGGGCAGCCTTAATCAGGATGGATCCAATTCCTCCATTGCCGTTCTTCACACAAATTTCGAAAAATGCATGATCGCACCCCCCTAAACCGAATGCGAAGTGCTACCTGCTGCCCCGAAACTCAGGAAGCCCACTTAAGTTTACAGTGTGTTGCTGCTCCTCCGACACCCCCAAGGGTCCAAGTACCTAACTATCATATACTCTCCAAACTAGTAACCTACATAACTACTATCCTAAACCCGAGTACCTAATTATTGGGTCCTTTGGACCCTCAGTGTACCGTAAACTCACGAAACACAGCTGCACCCTTGAGCCCAAAAAGGATCCACAGTGAAGAAATCCTCTAGTCGTCAATTGAAGTAGCCAGGGGGAAACCAGTATATACTTTTATTTCATAATGGTTCCTCTAAGGAACAGGTACCAAAAAAGAAGTATTCAAGTATGGTACTCCAAAGCCAGGTCATGGTACAAAAGGGCCGTGGCATGCCACGAGCGCGCAAATACCAGCAGCTACCCCTCTAAGAGAAGGCGGCCTACCATCAAACAAAAATGAATCCTGCCAACCTCTTTACAGCCTTAACGGGCCACCAAACAAAACCATCCCCCTCACCCCCCCCCCCCCACGGTAATCATCCGTACAAGGGTTCTGGTGGTCCCCTTAAGGGATACTGTAGAGTTCTATAATAGGGTCCCCTTTAAGCGGTGCTATAGAGGTCTATGATAGGGTCCCGCTCAAGGGTACAAAAAGGTTCGATAATCGGATCCCCTCTAAACCATTTTAAATCGGAGCCCCTTTAAGGGTACTATAAGATTCCACAATCGGATCCCTTAAGGGGTATTACATCGTTCTATAATAGGGTCCTCTGGGAACTGTTCTATAACCGGCCCCCCCTGAAACCCAAAGGGTCCTAAGTACTGTTCTAGGGCAGACTTCCCCAAATCATTTTCGTAATTCCTAATATAGAAACCCTACATTCTACTATATAGGTACTTCTAGGATCCCTTAAAGGAACCCAAAACCCTTAGAGGAACCTAACAAGATACTTTCAGGACTATATAAGGTACTGCTGAATATTTAAAGGAACCCTAAAACCCTAACCTCCAAAGAAAACCTACATTCTACTACATAGATACTTTAAGGAATCTTTGAGAAAGGAACCCCGAAGGAACTTCGACGCCGGCAGCCTGCAGGTCTCTGAGGCGAATCGTCGCTCCTCTCCTTACAGTCGGGTTATAGGCTTATGGGATTTAAGGCTTAAAGTAGGGGTCTATAGAGCTCCTTTAAAAGGGTTCTTTTGGGGTTCTATAGGGATCCTTCTAACCCTAATTAGGGTTTAGGGCTTGGGGTTTAGGGGTACAGTAAACCCCATGGAATTGGAAACCGGATTAAGGCCAAATAGTGCTGGGGTTCCCTATACATTACTCTTAAGGATAGAGGCATTATTGGGTCTCCAAATTTTAGGCTTCTACTGTAACAAGGCTGTTGCTTCAAGGGGTGCTCAGGGCTGCACCCATAGTAGTTTCTTTTTTGGGATTACATTATAGAATACCGCATATGAACCCCAAAAAGGAACTACCATGGGGCCTATGGGTAGGGCTGTAGGGTCTTGGGTTACAGGGTTTAGGGTCTTGGGTTACAGGGTTTAGGGTCTTGAGTTGCAAGGTTTTAGGTTTAGGGTCTTGGGTTACAAGATTGTTGAAACTTGCTTGAGTCAGTTGGCTTGCGATTTCAGATTATATGTCGTCTTAAAGACGTACAAAGGTCACTTCACGGGCCCCATATGGCTTTAAAAGCGTCGGTTCGTTGCCTCATAAACTTTACTAGGATGCCCAGTAACCTAGGAATAAAAAAGCGCGACCTTTTTTTGGTATGGGGTAACTTTACAAGGAACCTAGGACTACAAAACGGGAATAAGGGTACTACTGCGCATCCTAGTTTGTGGGCTCTACATTTTGCAGGATCCTCGGCAACTATTTGGTGGATACTTATCACCAAAAGAACTATCCCTAAGGGTCCAAGTACTCATCATTTAAGGACTCTGGGGCCTTTTTGTTTAGCAAAAACCATACATAAGGCCTCGGACCCTTAGGGTATGGAAACCATACAAAGTGCTACTCGGGATCCTTTGGGAGTAGCTTGAATGCTTGGGCTAATCGAGCTCAGGGTCTACTTCAAGTTCAGGGCTCTCAGCGTGTCTAGAATCTAGGGTTTAGGGGTTTCCGGTTTTGGGTTCTAGGTTTAGGGTATATGGTCTAGGGTCCCAGTTAACAGCCTTATAGGTGCCTTGCCTGGGGCTATCATGATTCCAACTCTACTCCGAGCCAGTTGACATTGTCCGTTGACTGTGGAAAATCCCACTATCCGGGCCTAGGATGACTTCGTGGAAGTTTGGGAAGGGCTTCGTACCTCGACCATGGAAAGTAGTGCCCTCATTCGAGACCCACTGCTACGTGAGCATAACATATGATACTGGACTTTGGAGTAGCCAGAGAGAAAAAGTATAAGTATAAACTTTTATTTCATAGTGGTTCCTTTGAGAAAAAGGTATTAAAGTATAGTACTCCCAAGCCCAGGATAAGATAGACCTGCAACGAGAAGAGAACCGCAATTCAGTGGCCAAGTCGCTCTGAGGCTACAGACTTCGCACCGTCAATCCAAAAGGGGAAAGGAGGGACCCTTAATGGGGACCCCTACCCTATAATGGGCTATACAATGGGTATGTAATAGCTATAGTAAGGGTATACACCTATAGGTTTCCTACTTGCCAAAGGGTCCAAGTATCATCATGGTATATACTTAGACCCCCCAAAATGCCCTATAAGTATATGCCAGAATGATACTTGGACCCTTCGGGATAACCCACAAACCATGGACCCTTAAACCCCGCATGAACACCGCAAACAACCCTAAACTGCGCGCCAGGACGTAGTCACAACACTGTAACTTTAGCGCCACCGACGACGCGATCCTGCAACGCGTCCTTCAATCCTCCACGAGTCACGGCTGAGGGATTACACAAACTAGGCCATACCAAGTTCCTCTTGGTGCTTACCTTAAGGCTCCTGGACGCTTGTAGTGAGATCCCGGACCCTAGCCCTCAAAGCCGAAACCCTCTCCCCGAAAGCCCAAGACCCTCCTTGGAGCTCTAGGGTAAGGAAAGGTGCCAGTCGGCACCAGAAGCAGCAGCAGTGGCAGCTGCATTGAAAATGACCAGGTTCCTCAGCAGCTTGGGCTTTGGGAGTCTTGGGGCTCCACCGAAATCTGAAGAGTTTTGAGAACAATTCCTTAGAGCTCCTTTGAAGGGGTCTACAAGGGTTACTATAAGGGATGTATAAGGGTACTATAATATAGGGACTTAAATAAGTAGCCACAGGCCACATGGTAGTTCCTTTTTGGGGTTCATATGTAGAGTTCTACAAGGTAATCCCAAAAAGGAACTACCATGGGGCGTATGGTAATCTTCAGGGACCCAAGACAAAACAAAAGACGTACGTATTGATTGAAACCCCAAAAATGTATTCCTGCGGACCCGTCAATGCCAATGTGAGCTAGTGTAGGTCCTGCATACACCTGGTAGCCCGAATACATGTACGCACCTACATGCCGAGTTCTCTTCAACTAGTCATCAGTGGCCTGAGCCCTATCTTACTGTGAGGTCTATGTCGGCTAAGTGGGTGGTTGTCAAAATTATGGTCCCTTTTTGGGTCCCTAAAAAAGTACGGCACCTACTATTTAGAGTACCCCGAAAGGGACCCTAAGTTTGACAACCACCCAAGTGTGCAAGGACAGGCTGTAATATTTGATCATGTTCGGGTTTCGGGGTTTAGGGTTTAGGGTTTAGGGCTTAGGGCTTAGGGTTTAGGGCTTAGGGTTTAGGGGGTTTCCAGTGTAATGCGGCTTCTGGGCCGGAATCTTCGACTTTAGTCTAGAATGTCTGCTACTGCTAGCGAGAGCGTGCCAAAGATGTATTGTACATCCTAGAAAAACCATTCAACAACGGAGTAGTCCGGAGATCAAGCCCTAAAACCCCAAAAAATCTCAAGCTCTATAACCACATTTGAAGCGCCGCAGTTCATCAAAGGCACGATTGCAAACGGCTCTGAGGAACCTGGGAAAACCTCAGTTGGCTGTCCGAGCTTCCAACCCAGAACTTGGGAGTTGTACGATTTACGGCTTACCTCACCTTCAGCAACCAGGGTACCCCTTGTTTTATCGTGTCGTCGTCAGAACGCTCATTCCAAACAATCCTGTGCCCGAAACTCTAAACTATCCCGTACCAAGTAAACTATCCCGTACCAAGGAAGAAGCCTCAAACCGAGAGGCAGGCGCAGGGCGCGCCACCACTCATCTGCATCGCCACAGGCAGTGACGAGGGTGCTGAAAGAGATGACCTTGTTTGATGCTTCATGGGTATAGGGTTTAGAGTGTATAGTGAACCCCAGAAAGTTGGAACATGGACTTACGTGTAGGAGGATTAGTGCGTGGATTGCCTCTACTCTACCTTGAAGGTATGGGGATAATGATGTTCCAACTTTCTGGCTTCTACTGTAGGGGTTCAGGGTTTACGGGTTTAGGGTTTCGGGGCTGAGGGTTCTTGCTACCTGCGTGCCATCATCGAGCGGGCCATTAAGACTCTGACTCGGCGCCAAACAATATACCCTTAAAAGCGACTGTGACTTAAAACACAAATCAAGCTTAGGAACCCTAAGCAGACAGGTTTTCTAGAGATCAGATAGCTGCTTGCATGCTGTCAGATTGTCAGAGCCCTGGAGGGGAAGAACCAACAAATTGTCTTGATGTTCTTCACTGGTAGCTGGGCCACCCGAACCCTAAAGGTTCAAGGACCTTCCCAAAGGGTCCTAGGTACTGTTATGGGGAATAAAGTCAGAATAGTAGTTCCTTTCATAGAAACCCTACTTTCTACTACTATATAGCTACTTTGGACCCTTTGGGCTTGTGATACTTTGGTACATGGGTTACGTATACTGTAGTAGTTTTGTAGGCGAGTATTTGGGAGAGAATATCCCAAGGGTCAGTGCACACGAGCACCCAAAACCGTAGTCCCTGAAGTTTTGAGTCAGAAGTTACTATAGGCATACGAAAGCCCGAAACTGTAGTTCCTGAATTTTTGAGTCAGATGTTACTATAAGGCATAGAGGATGGAACCCGGACCCAAACTTGGAATCATCCTGGTTCTCATTGTGCATTATGAATGCAAAGCCCGAGCCCTAAAGACAACAGGAACACTCTGTGCACGTGAACTAGCCCTGCTGGATCTATGCGGAGCACATACATTCCCTAGAGCCTTAGAAATTTGGGCCCCGAGCATTTCGAAGCACCTGCTCCTGGGGAAAGGGGCAAGAGTGGGTATGTATGGCATCATATGGGTGGTCTGGGCTTCTAATAAGTACCCAGGAATAAAAAAACGTATAAACGTTTACTTCGTTTTGGTCCCTTTAAGAGAAAAGTATCTTAAAGTATGGTACTCCAAAACCCAGCGGTTGGGGTGCGATGCAAGACTTACCCTAAACCATAAACCCCAAACCGCTTGCTGTCTAGCGGTCCCGAGTCAGAGTGTAGGCTTTACTAACCCCCCCTGCTTCTTATCCCTAGCTCTAGGTACTTGTCGGGTCTCATGGGGAACCAAAGGTTAACCTTTTTGGCTATATAGGGATTATATAGGGACTATACTACCCAAACAAGGTCAAAGGTTACCTACTCTACTACTACTACGGTTGATGTTACAAATCCTGCATTACCCATAATAAGGAATATACCATAATTCCCATAGTCTAGGGTCCTTAAGGTAATGCAGGATTTAAAACATCAACAGAAGTATCATCATGGTATATACTTAGAGCCCCAAGATGCCCTATAAGTATATACCAGAATGATACTCTGACCCTTTGGGTTTGCTTCGGCTCGATAAGCTGCGAGAAGGATGGACAACCCAAGACCACGGCGACTCCCTCTATGGAGAAGAATAATAGCATGGGCAATGAAAACAGAGGCTGCGAAAAACCCATGGCAACTATGACCGCAAGCGTTTCTGTGACATTTCGGACAACTAGACGCCCCAATGGTGAGACTGAGTGAATAAGGCTCCAACTGTGCGTGCTCTTACGCGGGAATGCAGGTTGCCCCACCGTGAACCAGTATACAAATAGTACTTGCTCTGGGCTATTTGGAGTCTTAGGGAACCCTGAACCCTAAACCGAGGAGAAGAAAGTCGGAATGATGCCAATTAGATACGAAGAAAAGATCTAGCTTGGCAAAACTCGCACATTTAGGGACCAAAAAGGCAGGCCCCAAGACCCCAAGCCCTAGCGCCCATCAAGAAATTGGAAACTCCAAACCATACCCATAGTCTCATTGTGTTGTGGTTGAAACAGGTTTATAATCATAAAAGGCTAGAGGTAAGGTAACCCCCCAAAAAGGAACTGCAATGAAGACTGTAGGCAGCGACCCAAATCCAACCCTAAGGGTCCAAAGGACCCAATAATTCAGGAACTCGGGTTTAGGATAGTAGTTATGTAGGTTACTAGGTTGGAGAGTTTATGATATACTTAGGCACTTGGACCCTCAGACCCCTAAACCCCCGCAAATCCTCCATCAGGAGCTTCGCCGCCGCACTCCAGGCACGTTGGCCCAAAGCAGCCAGCAGCGCGTTCAGAGCAAGGGTGTTGACGAAGATTCCGGAGGCCTGGTTAGGGCTTTAGGGCTTAGGGGTTTAGGGTTTATAGGGTTTCGAGCTTAGGGCTTAGGGTTTACACAGGGTTTAGGGGTTTAGAGTGTTAATCGGGTTTAGGGTTTTGAGGTTTAGGGTTTAGGGTTGAGGGCTTTAAGGCTCTACCAGGACCCCCAATGGCCCTTTAATGGAGCTCTTATGGTCCTGAATAGTGGATATTTGGGGCGCAACAGAGGGTAGTTGGGGGGTCTAGATAGCGTTTCGCATTTAGGATCCCGGTGCCCTTGTGTAGGGTTAAAGGTAGTTTATTGTTCAGGGCGGTCCAAGGCAAAGCAGGATTCCTGTTGAAGTTCTACAAGGGGTCTAGGTTCCGGCAGTTCCTACATGTATGTTTGTTATGCCGAAGAGGACCGAAAGACCGTGTAATGGGTTTTCAGCAATGACCGTATGGATGCTGATTCATGGTGAAGGGTTGTAGGTTGTAGGTTTCCCGGTGTACGCATTAGACTATGTATAAGCCTTAGCCTAAGGCTCCAAGTGCGACTCGTTACAGGGCTTTGCGGAACATGTAACCCTAAGGCTCCAAGTACTACTTAGCATGGGACTTTACGGAGTTTTGTAGGGGTGATTACCAGAAATGAGGACTACTTGGCCGCTCAGGGTAAGGCCTCAGGAATGCTGAAGTCTTGAAGTTCAGGGTTCGCGGAATGGGGGATCCCGGCGAGGCTTTGTTCCTTTCTGCGGTTTGGGGTTACGGTTGTAATTGAAACTTTTCCTTGGGCTTCTGAGGAAGCGTTGGGATGTTTGTTGTTTACAGTATTCCAGGTGTCGAAACTTTAACCTGTGGTTGCTGAACGTTCGCGGTTTGGAATTTGGCTTGTATAGAAAATGGGCGAGGCAATAGTGTTGAGCTTTCACTCTTTGGGTTCTGAAAGATCAAACCTATAACAAGGATACGTTGGGGTTTCGAGGTCGCCACGCATGCCGAGATGAAGGCTTACAAGTGGGGGTCGGGGAGCTGCCATGGTCTACAACGGAAAGCCCGGCGATTTCAGGAAAACATCGTACATGTACAAGAGTTCTATCAATTCAACACGACAATCAAAACATACGCAGGTGCAGAAGTTGCTATCTCTAAAAAACACGAGGGCTTGGTTCCTTTATTTCTGCGAGGAAAATGTCTTCCGTACAAGTTGTAGCCGCCAAAGGGTCCATGATTTCACTCAGCACCGAAACCCCTGTTCCTGTTTAGTACCTGTCATAGGGCCAACGTCTGCCTAGGCACATGGACCCACAGGCCGCAGGGCATGGTGTTTCTTCAGATTGCAAGCTTTCCAACACGCAACCAACAACACACCCGAGAGGAGAAAACTACCCGCGGAGTCAGCAGCGACATGTCATGCTGTGTGCTTTATCTTCGTGAGGCACCTCCAGTACCACAAGCAACGCCTGTGCCATCATCCAAGCGCTGCGCAGCGCACAGAACTGGGCGCCAAAAAAGACCTTACACTTCAAGGGACGGGACTGCGGAAGGTTGGTAGAAGAGCTTAACGGCTGAGGGTCCTGGAATTTCGGAGTTCAACCAATATCAAAACATGGTTGTCGCATCGGATGCTTGCCGCGCGATTATCGCCTGGTGGGTTCGAGACCGTCGGTATCCTGTCTTCAACACGACCGGGACGGGCAACGCAACAAAGTTATCGCAAGTGCTGCCAGGCAAATTGTGCATGCAGTGGACACATCTGAAGAACGTGCCAGTGGAACCTCTACTTATGATGAATGCTACGAATATGCTCCGTTGCTTCACAAGGTCGTCAGTGTGCAAACTCATTGTCGGATCCGACGGGGTTCTTCTGCTGACCTACAAGTATGCCAGAACAATACAGAAAACCCACAGCGCCCATGCCGAAGAAGTCCGAACGAACCCACAAAACAGATATCGCTGGCTGACGTTGTGCCCTTGGTGCAGCAGGGCACAACAGTGCTCCCCAGATGTGATCTTTCTACCGCCGACAAATTCGACCACGACATGCTACTAATTTCTGGCTTCCACGCAGCTGAAATGCATGTGCTTCTATTTTCGATCATCATGAGTCAGGGTGCCACGTCGGTCTGCAATCTGAAGATGGCAACCTCCCGAGAATTCTTTCTAGCTTTGGGTCTAATTGGGAGTCTGGGCGTGTTGGATACCAAAACTTTGCAATCTGAAAACTACTTGCACTCATCGGGCGTTAAAAACAGAATGCATGGCCCGCTGCTAGGAATGTTTCTGCCGATTGTTTGAAGATGGAGCCCCCCGCCTAGAACATGAGGATTCCCCGATGCAGGCTTCGATACAACCACGCCCACTCCTTGTGCCTACCCTAAGGCTCCAAAGAGGGTCTTGTGCTTTCTGGGGGAGGGTTTCGGCTTTGGGGGCGAGGGTCCGGGATCTCACTACAAGGGTCCAGGAGCCTTAAGGTATACCGAGCACATCAATTGCATTGCTTTCTGCCTGCATCCTGCATCCTGCAGCAACCCGGCTTCTGGAAATGGTAATGCGTAGCTTGGTGAAAAGGATTGCTTCACCAATGGGCCGAACTCAGACATTTGATGGGCCCCTTTTGAACGTTTGTGCCTTTCAACTCCCAACCGTCGAAATACCAACTAGGGTCAGATAGCTCGTAACCGCCAAAGCCACCAAAGCATATATAGACTCCAGACTCTTCTAGTCGATCATGTATGGATTAAGTGAAGCCTTCCAAACATGATCGTCACCATCAGCGGTAGTAGCCAGAAGAGCAGAAGCAGTATGAGCAGCATGAAGGCAATAAGCGTCATAACACAATGTATAACAGCCGGACAAAAGACAATAACATCATAACACCCGAGCCCTGAGAGTCCAAGCGCCAAATGATCACATATTCTGCCAGCCTCACAGCCAAGATATGTATCCATGAATGTGTATATACGGCAGACATGCGCAAGTGTGTACATGTGCGTCTACATACGCACGTGCATGAGGGTTTCTAACAGCGACGTTTCCAGCCTAAAACTCCTTTCCATGAGCGGTGTTTGGGGCACATGGACCCATGGGACCCTTAGGGTTGCAGCTTCTTAGTCTGCAGCCCCAAACCCACCAGAATCGCAGGACTCCGTGACTCTCAAGTTCAGCTCACAAAAACAGCAGGTGAGTGGATCTACAGGTAGGATGACCCTTAAAAGTAGGGGCCTTATACCCATATACTATGAATCCCCATATGGTATATGAACCTTAAAGCCTTTTAGAATTCATTTCGTCCTTAAGGAAGGAGGTGCCCGTGGCGTGGTATACGGAAGTCCCAAGCCTCGAAAATCAGACCCTAGCCTAAGGCTCCAAAGAGGGTCTTGGGCTTTCTGGGGAGGGTTTCGGCTTTGGGGGCTAGGGTCCGGGATCTTACAAGGGTCCAGGAGCCTTAAGGTGGGGTGCAAGGGTTTAGGGCTCATTGGGTTTAGGTTGTTGTAGGGGCACTTCAAACGTGTGCACCCAGACCCTCAATTTTGGCAGTGTTGTTGGCCGAATGCTTGTTTTAGGGTTGGACGCTTAGATCCAGCAAAACACGGAAAGGCCAATAAAAGGGATTATGGCGGGGTGTACTTCCTCCTTGGGTCAAAGTACCCCTTAACCAACCACTCTCCCGAATATGCACCTCCATAACTGTCCATAACTACGATCCTGATTCTTGGATGCTTTGGACCCTTGAATTATAAGCCCAAAGGGTCCTGTACCCAACTAGCACATACATTGGCCTTAAAGTAGTCCCTATCTCGGCACATTGGGGCCTAAGTCTATACTACTTGGGTACATGGACCCTTATACCCTAAACCTTATAGAACCCTTAGAAGAACCCTTTTAAAGGAACCCTCTATTTTTGTATTAAGGGCTTTGTTTGAAGGGTCAGGGTAGGGGGCTTCCGGAAGCCCAACAGTCAAGCCTACGCCCACGTGAGACCGGTTTTAGGGTTCAGGGATCAATTGCCGTAAAAATCCCTGGAAACCCCTTCAGCCGCCGACTAAACCCTAAAATCTACACCCTAAACCCTAAAACTCCTAAAACCCTATAAACCCCATAATTAAACCGTAAACCCTAAGCGCCCTAAGCCCTAAACCCTGAAGGCATCTACGGCCTTTTCAGCCATCTCAACCCGGAAGTTCCCCAAAGGCTTCCGAGCCTCGATCCCATGTAACACAAAACCCTAAGGGTCCTACTTGGAGGGGCAGGGGGGTTCTTAAAGGGCTCCCTTAAAGGGATGTATAGGGTTCCTTAAACGGATCTATGGGGTTTAGGGTTTAGGGTCTACTTGGAGGGGCAGGGGGCTTAGTAAGTAGGTTATAAGTAGAGTTATAAGTACCCCAAATGGAGTTACCCCAGTTATAACCCTACTTATAAACGACTTACTAAGTCCCCTGCCCCTCCAAGTAGGTACTGTTATGGGAAATACTTTCCCAAATCAGAATAGTAGTTCCTAATACAGAAACCCTACATTCTACTTTATCGGTACTTTGGACCCTTCGGGGAAGGGTCCATCACCCAAATAGGGTCCTTAAGTAAACTACGGTTGATGATATAAATCCTGCATTACCTTAAGGACCCTAAACTATGGGAATTATGGTATATTCCTTATTATGGGTCATGCAGGATTTATATCATCGACAGTAGAGCTCTAAGGACGGGGCTCATGAAAAGGGAGCTTTAAGGGTTCTATAGGGTTCCTTGAAGGGGATCTGTAACCCTTAGGCTCAAAGGACCCATATTCTGAAGCTTTCTGGAAGACCGTACCATTTACCAGGCTTTTGGGCTAATTTTGGGCCTTAGGGTAAGGACTCACGACCTCGAAAACTTCAGGAAGGGTTTGTCTTAACCTCTAACCTCTTAAACACCTAAACCCTAAACGAACTAAACCCTGAAGAACCTCCACTTTTCTGTGGAGTCGTCTTGAAGTCACCCATATCTTTTGTAGGTTCTCATTTTAAGCCCCACTACTATCAAGGTTCAGAGTGAGAATCTATCAAGAAGTAGGTCCCAACCGCCAAAAGCTCGAAAGCACCCTACGGCGCACCATCTTAATACCCCGAAGCCGGCCCTTGAAATGGACGCCTTTGCTACAGTGGCCCTGAGCCCTTAGGCTCTAAGGACTCATATCTTACGGCTTTTCGACCAAAGACCATACTATACAAGGCTTCTGGGCTACTTTGAGCCGTAGGGTAGAGCTAAGAAGGAACCCTTCTACGGCCAATGACTACTATGTTCGTACATGGACCGTCTGACACCCTATCAGATCAACCGCTTTTAATGAACTGACCTCTCCTAACCTAAATTATACTTAACTTCCCCAAAAGGCCCCACATTGTAGAAGCGCCAAGAAACATGAGAGTCGTCGTACATGGCGTAAAAACCCCTTTGTAGACAGCTTTAACAAGGAAGCCTGAGCACGTGGAGTCTTTCCAAGGGTAAAAGGAGGGACTCTTAATAAGGATCCCTAGGCATATACTTTTAATCTAGCTATTATATATGCCCATTATATAGCCCATTATAGGGCAGGGGTCACCAATAAGAGTCCCTCCTTTTCCCCTTTGACACATGGACTCTTGGGGCAGCCAAAGCTTAAACTATAAGTCCCTTGGAGCCTTGGGGACTTAGTAAGTCGTTTATAACTAGGGTTATAATTGGGGTAACTCAATTCCGGGTACGTATAATTCTACCCCAAAGGGTCCAAAGTACCTATATAGTAGAATGTAGGGTTTCTAGATTCGAAGTTACTATTCTGATTTGGGAAAGTATTCCCCATAACAGTACCTAGGACCCGTTAGGTTAGGAAAATCCCAAAGAAACCTAAACCCTGAAACCATAAACCACTGAACCTACACTCCTCATTCCTAAAACCCTCAAGCCTTAAACCCTTAATCTCAAACCCTATACTTCCGTACAAATCCTAGCCCTCATCTTAGAAGAAAGGCACTAAGCCTCCTTAAGGATCCACGTGCTCATTTGAGGACTTTGGGGCCTTTTCGGGTCAAAAAAAGTAAGGCCTACGTGGACCCTTATAGGCCTTATATAAACCCCAACCCTACGGGTCCAAGTACCTAACTATCGTATACTCTCCAAAACAGTAGCCTACATACCTACTATCCTAAACCCCGAGTACCTATAATTACTGGGTCCTTTGGACCCTTAGGGTAAACCCAAAAACCTTGAACCCTTGGAAGCCCTAAAAAATCCCTTGAAGGGATCCCTTTAGAATACGCTTATAGGGTGCTATAGGGTTCTGTAATAGGGTCCCCTTCACAGGATCCCTTGAAGGGGTCCTGGCATCCCTGATAGATCCCTCTAAAGAACCCTTTAAGGAACCTAAGCCCCATTGTCCCTCTCAGAGACCCTAACAGAGCCCGAAAAGCAGACCTCCCGAAGAGCGGACAAAGCCACGGGCCAGGCATTGCCACCACAGCCCGCCAAAGCCTACTCAGGTCCGGGTACTTTTTTTTCTGGGCTTAGGGACTTGAGGGGTTTAGGGTGTTTAGGGGGGTGGGGTTGATTTTGTGCTTTGTGCATGCTGCTTTTGACTGCGTTTGTATGCTTCTTGCTTGTGGTTATGTGTGTTTTGTTCTTGCTTGCTCTTCTTCTTGTTGTCGTTGCTGCTGCTGTTGTTGTTGTGGTTGTGCTGTTTTGATTTGGTGGTCTTGCCTTTGGGGGGCGTTTATTGCCCAAAGAGTGCGAGAACACTAATTATTTGGATTTGGTTCATGGTCAAGAGAACCGATTTCTGTTCTTAAACGGTGTACGCTGAAAAATTGCTCCCCGCGTCTTGTGGTTTACAGCGTGGCGCACATCTGGCCCCTAAACCGTACACCCTAAACCCCTACTCATTCATTCTGGGATCCCTCAAAAAGCGGTGCTGTTTCAGAGGTTAGACCTTACATTTTTCGGGATCGCAACCTAGTTCTTTGTGAAGTTTTGGGTCAGAGGTGAACCATCAACCCTAGGGTTGATGATCTGAATCCTGCATTACCTTAATGACCCAAGATATCGGGAATTATGGCATACTCCTCATTATGGGTACTGCAGGATTTATATCATCAACCCTACATTTTTACGGTTCCTGATTATGACTCATATTCTAGGTCTTTTCGGAATTTGAAATAAATCCGAAACGCTGAAACATACACAAACCCTCGCTATTCACCACTCATACGTTCATCATCCCGACCTGGACCCTTTTTTGAGGACTTATATGGGAAATTCCGAAAACTAGGGAACCCTATTTTGGGGTCCTTAGAGGTCACTTTTTTGGTACCCTAAATAATAGGTGCGGTATTATAATAGGGACCCAACAAGGGACCACGTTATTTTCGGAAACTCCCATATAAGGAAACCATAATAGGGAACCCTATAAAGGAAGGTTTTATAGGGTTCAGCAACCTAAGGCTTACAATAGCCCAAAAAGCCTTGTATAGTACGGTTTGGGGGCCTAAAAGCCTTAAAAATATGAGCCCGTACAGCCCAAGTCCCTTCCAGCTGAGGGTTTTTGAGATTAACGCATCTGGTCTTTCAAGGCTCGGACCCGGGACCCATAAGCCCATGTTGCTGATGACGGCTTAGGGTTTTGGGTTTAGGGTTTAGGGTTTTGGGTTAGGGTTTTGGGTTTAGGGTTGTGCGGTGCTCGGGATTGCTGAAGTACTGACTATCGCCCAGTGACCTCGTCGTGCCGATAGGGGCGTCGGTTCAATATGCGTTTAGAATTGTAGCGTCAGGATACATGATGCTGGCCCCAAGGACCCTAAGCATACATATGTAGAATGTAGGTTTCCACATTAGGAACTAGTTTTATGATTTATTTGGAGAAGTATTCCGAATAACAGCAACTAGGACCCTTTGTGCAGAAAGGTTCTGACAACACCAACCCCTAGCCTACGAACGACAACTTCAACCGAACTCCTGATGATCAATCCGTACCTTTGCAGAACAACTCCAAACACCAGATCCAGAAAAGGACGTCAACCCTGTCCGGGAAAAACCTTAAGGGCGCCTGCGTGACGTCCACCACGTCGGGTTTGACCCCATGCTGCCGCAACAGCCCTCAGAGTGGTCTTCGATGGCTACTGAGTGCAGGGTTTTGGCTCCTCGGTTAGCATGGTGTATACATTTATGAAGGGATTGCTACAATTTATTCTACAATTTGTTCAAACCTCTATAATCAGTCGAGTCTGAGCTTGAGGCTTTATAATAGGGGCTGTATGTATGAGCCCACAGGAAATTCCAAGCTCCCAGGATTCTTAGCAATAAGGGTCAAGGTACCCAAATTTCAAACAATAGCTACTTTAACCCAAAAAAGTACCAATATGGGGACTGCTTACTTTCAGGCTCAAGTATCCACTATTTCGGCACATGGACCTGTAACAGGGGAGGGAACCAGCAAACCAAAAGGAGCCTGACCGGAGGCCTCCGAAATCTAAACTTAAGGCTCTGACTCATATGCTGAGGCTTTTGGGACTGTTTTTCGAGCCTTAGGGTTAACCTGCTATATACATGTTGAAGAGCACACGCATGTACCTTCGTATATAGAGTATTCATACTATCGAACCCAGGGAAGACTCTGCAACTAATTGTTGCATACCGATCATGTGCGTGCACGTGTGATGTACTAACACATCGGTCTCTGCTATCCTGGCATTTTGTTCTTGCTCTTCTTGCGACTACTCTTAGCTCTGCGAGGATATTGTCAATGCTACGAGACAGAATCGCAATTAATTAATCGTAGCATGGCTGAGTTCGTGTCACTGTCGCTGCTGCTGGCGCGGAAAGTCTGATGCAGACTTACATCGATAACACGAACGCTTCCGCGAGGAAAACAATTATGCGAACCTCTGCCGCTTAGAAGTGGAGCCCAAAACCTTCTACCCCATCCTACCTGTAAACGCCAAACCCTACTTTTCTACTCAACGGTATAGAGAAGCCACAATGAGGAACACTGATGTTCGGAAGCTCAATTCATCAATAATTATTAGGCATGCGAGGGGACCCTGCAGTTTCGGGTTCAGGGTTTGGGGTTTAGGGTTGAGATTGTGGAACTTTGGAAAGAAGAGGTGCCCAAGCGTGCCAGGGACGTCGGCCAAGCAGCAGGCATAGCACCAAAGCTTTTGGTAAGATACCCCGTAGGACCCAGAAACAAGGCCTATGCAATGGCCGTACAGATTATAATAAGGCTTTGGGTAGGGTATATGGGAGTTGCAGAAAATGGGGGACCCTAATATAGTACCCTGAATATTAGGATCCTTAGCATAAGGACCGCAAATAAGGTATCCCTGAGTTTCGGAAACTCCCATATGAGTCCTTAGAAACGGGTCCAGGTTATGATTACTAGCATGACCATGGTACAGAGCCCTGACGAGTCACATAGGTCACAGTCCCGGCCGCTGAATGACACCTTTTTCCTAGTCTTCCGGGTTTCAGGCTCAAAAAAACATGCCACAGAGATGGGTATACCAGTATTCTTGGGGAGCCTAGTACCATGCTTCGCAGAGTTCAGGCCTGCGCCGTTGAGCAGCCCCTCGTTTCAGAATAAAGGCTGGATGTCCAGTTTAACTGAAACGGTCAACATGCATGCTGCAATTTCGAGTAAAACGACTGCTATCACCATGAACGACAGGTGCTTTAGGCGGATCTGCCGGCTTAGGGTTCAAAAGCTTAGGCTTTACAGGGTAAAGGCAAGGGTTCAGGTTGCTGATGTTTGGGTTGTAGAGTTTCCTGCTTCCGGGCACGAGGACGTAAAGTAGCCGCCTCCTTCTCCAGCTGTGTGTCTCTCTCTCTCTCTCTCTCTCTCTCTCTCTCTCTCTCTCTCTCTCTCGCTTGTATGTAAAGCTGGTGTGCGTAGATGCTACAATGTGTTTGCAACGCATGAGCACAGGCGTGAATGGGCTTCAAAGTTGCAGGTCCTTCGCACCTTCTCTGTCAGGCGCATGTGTGTACATAAACACCTATATGCATACATACACATATAAGTATAAATAAATAAATAAATGTATATATACATACATACATATATATATATATATATATGTGCAGGCATGTCTACAGGTATGTCATGTGTATGTGTATATATATATATATACACATGCATGTACATGTATACTGCATTACACAAACATACACGTCACACATTTATGGGGAGATTCTTGGATGAAGGGAAACCCCTGCATAAATTGACACGAGGTTCAGGGATGAGACGTAAGGGGCATGCATCAACAATGCTGCGAAGTGTCAGGGTTTCAGGACCAAGGGGTTTATGTGGCAAAACCGAAACATGCCTGCCTAGACCAGAAAGTGTTGTACCTTGTTTGCTTACCAAGGTCAAAAAGATACTACTCCTGCCGAAACAGGTAATTGTGGGTTCAGGATAGGCATGTTGCAGGTTAGTATTTAGGAAAGTATGGGATTATGAACTGTGAGCAGTGAAACCGTGAGGATTTTGCTTATCTCTGACAGGTGTAGGTCGCGTTCGTAAATCCTGCACTCAGGGTCTGGGGGTATGGGTTACGATTCAGGGTCTTGGGTTTAAGGTTTACGGTTTTGGAGTCATGGTTCAAGGTGGAAGAAAGCTCGCGGCTTAGTTTAGGAAACTGCAAAGTGAGCTCAATCAATTGTTTCGGAGAGCTCTGTGAATGAAATACAAGAACCAACACATAATAATCCTAAGCCCTATATGAAACCCGAGCAGTCACTAACCCCGAGGACTTTAACAACCCTAAGAATCCTGACAACCCTCAACCAGTCGCAAGCCAAATTACGAAGAGCCTGAAAGCCTGCCAGCAACGACAGTTCCCTTAATTAAGGAGTATACCTCAAATCATATTAAGGATCCTACTATGGTTTAAGGTATAACACTAAACCCTAAACCGTAACTAAGGCAACGAGAACCAGCATCTGCTTCGAGCACTTACTTAAGGATTCAGAGTTTGAGGGTTTAAGGAAGGAACCTGAGTAAGAAACCCTGGGCCGTTTACCCCAAAATTGTAGGATCCATAAGGAAACCTTAAAGAGGCCAAACGTTTCTTAATCAAGTTCCTACGTCATAGGCAGGGTTTAAGGGTTGAGGGCTTTAGGGACTTAAGAGTTACCCCTGCAAGCGGCGCCCTATACCCTTATGCTGTGAATCCATGTATGGCCCTAGAACTGTTTTAGGGTACAGTTCGTCCTCAAGGTTTGCGGTAACGGGTTCGACAACTATGGTTCGGGGTAATACAGCGTCGAAACGAGGAAGAAGGACTTTGCAAACCCTGAAGCCTGAACCCAAAACCGTACACTGTACCTCTATTTTTGCCCAGCTGTGTGGAATTCCTGCAGCGCCGGAAATCAGAATCGCGGAAAAAGCCTGAAGGGGATCTTTTTGGCTTATAAACCCTAAAACCTAAACCCTAAACCCTAAACCCTAAACCCTAAACCCTAAACCCTAAACCCTAAACCCTAAAGGGGATCTTTTTGGCTTATAAGGTTTGACAGACTTTCGAAGCCCTGACCCTTAGGCTCTAAGGACTCCTATAGGGCTTCTTTAAAGGGATCTATGAGGGGTCCTTTAAAGGGATCTATAGGGTTTATAGGGGCTCTAAGGACTCATATTTGAAGGCTTTTGGGCCCAAAGACCATACTACATAAGGCTTTTGGGTAATTTGAGCCTTAGGGTTAACCTTTGGGACGAACAGAACCTTAAGATACCTAGAGGGGATTCATTAAATGAGGGTATGGGGCCCCTGCTTGTGAGGGTAATTCCAGAATTGAGGGTTTCAGGAAGTTTCTCCGGCTTCCACCCTGAGGCTCCAAAGAGGGTCTCGGGCTCTCTGGGGGAGGGTTTCGGCTTTGGGGGCTGGGGTCCGGGATCTCACTACAAGGGTCAAGGAGCCTTAAGGCAAGCTTTATAATTGAGAGTTTCTGGGCTTGTGGGTTTAGGGTCGGGCGGTTCGGGACATGGACTCTTCGGGTAAGAGCTGCCCCCCCCCCCCCCCACACACCCCCACACACATGCACACTGGTTCTCTGAGGCTGCTTCGTGCGACCTGTGAGGAAGGCCTCAAACTCCATGATGTCGTGCTCCACGTAGCTCAATCCCATCTTGTCGAGGTATGCTACCTCTGCGGTCTGCGAAACACCGAGACCACTATCCTTTCGGGCTTCCTGCTTAGCAGTCTCATCGGCTAGCAGATCCCAAGGCATCTTGCCTTTGCCTTTGCTGCCTTGAAAGTAGAACACATGAAGCGTTTGGTGCAATTCGGCCGCCCGGTCCACGTTTCGTTTCCACTCCTCGAACCACTGACAACCCCAGGGGGCTCGGTCCTCATTTTCGATGCAGCGGACTTCGGCATCTTGCAAAGCCTCTGCAAGCTCTTGTTCCCATTCAATCTCTGTTTGATGTTGCTTGATCAGCAATCGCTGGCCCATCGCTTCGGCATCTGCCCTTTTGAAGGCAAACGTCTGGTCATGGTTAGCTGACTCGTCGGTGCTGACTTCCACCACACTGAGGTACGTAGACGCTGGTAGCCGACCATAGATTTGCTGGCACCAACACATGCCCGGAGTCTCTGGGTTGTTTGCATGCCGACCCAGGCCAGAAGCTCTGTCTGTCAAAAACACACAGGCAAGTGAGAACGCATCCTCCCGGGCAACGCGTGAGACCGCTTTGTCCCAGAGGTCGCTGTACTTACCGGGAAACGATACAACGCAGTCCGACGCGCTCCGGCTGATGTGTCCTGGGAAGGCAACTCGTGCGGAAGCCAAGCCAAACCCTGACAGCTCTGCAAGCCTCTGCAAAGTTTCCAGATTCATCGGTATGCTGCCCACCATGCCACTGAGAACGAGCACATTGAAGACTTGGAAGGACACGTCAAGAGTTATCAGTGTCGGTGACAGATGTCTAAAGGGATTCCAGGTTTGTAAGAAGGCGAACAAAGCGACAAAGCTCAAAGCTGAACCCAAAGGGACCATGCAAGCGTTTGCATACAGGATGCATGCCGTCCACCAAACGGTTTCATTTCCTCTCGCTTGCAACATAGCTCCTCTGGCTGCACGGCATAATGCCCAACACTGAATAAGAACGACCGTGAAGCTGCAGCACCGACACCCTATAAGCGAAGCATTCTCCATCTTCTCACTCCATGCCAGAAGGATGCCGAGCCTGCTTGCACACATACTCCCCAAGAACACAACAAGCCAAGAAACGCCGATTGCCGTCAGCAGGCTACAGCACCAGGCTGTCCGATGCCAGCCGAGAGCTCGAAGCTTAAGGATGGTCATGTAAACCTGCAGCACATTGCATAGCACTTCCCAAAGAAGCATTGCAACGCTGGCCAGGATTGGGGAGTGGTTGCTGCTGGTCAACACGTGCACAATGCTTGCGTCGCACAGTGGCAGCGCCAAACAACACATTGTGAACAAGCTCCACACATGCAGCGAGTTTTTCACAGAGAAGCGGTCCTTCCTGTGGACAAAGAAATAGAGTCCGAAACCTGTCACAAAGGGCCGAAACACGGCGTCGCACACCTTGTGGTAATCGACAAATTCCCTGAGGTATGTGAAGGAAAGGCCAGCAGCGATTCGTGCCATGGTGTAGAGGGCCAGCACCACCTTCGCTCGCCATCGCCATCTCGAGTGCTGCTTCTTTTGCAGATCCCTCAGATCCTTTCGCATATCTGCCAGGGTGCTTCTTCTTCGTCTCGAGGACGCCACAGAACCGTCACTTTGGACCTGGACCAGCATCTGTGCAGCTTGCTCATGGCCGCGTCTTGAGGCTAGCTCCACGCCTTCGCTCCTCGAACTGTGGGTGGTGGGCATGGCTTCGACGCAGCCGGAGGTCTTACAACACCAAAGGGCCTTTAGTACCTACGGTAAAAAGAAATATACAGTTATATATATATATATATGTAGAATGGTAATTACGATTGTGATTCGGGGAAATACACCCACCCCAAGAGTCTTCAACAAATCGAATTCCACCCCTAGCAGCACCTGGACCCTTTAAGGACTACTCTCGTAATTCCATTGCCGGTTTTGCGGAAACAAAGTCGACTGGAGCTTCAGATATATGAGGCGACTTGAAGGCAGTTCATTGTTTGAGATCGATTTCAGCTCGGCGACGGTTAAGTCTGCAAAAACATGGTCTAGGATGGTGATTCCTTGCCCAGCAAAGTATGCGCCTGAGCTCGAAACGAAGCGACGGTAGAAACTCTGTAAACCCAAGGCGCGAGTTGATTGCACGACAATTCCAGCTACCTCAATGGTAGGTTACTGGCATATATATATATATATAATATGTCGTTAGCATCCCTGTCTAGGTAACTGGAGCCCTAGGGCATACTCCAGCACCCCCAAAAAGCACATAAGCAAAAACAAGGATAGGGACATCCCACATAACCCCCTTATAGTGAAGCCCAATACATAGTAGGGATTTCCCTATAAAATTCTTATGCTTGTGTGCTTGCTGGGTCCCTAATACTCAAAGACCAAACCTCCGGGTCTCAGGATCGAATCTAACAGCTGCAACGGGTACCGAAGCAAGCCCTACACCGCTCAATGCTGCGAAACTGGGGCTCTCCTACGCAAGGCTCTGGTTCCAGAGCATGGCGTTTGGTTTCGAAGCTTGGAAAGTGGAGACCCTAAACCCTAAACCCTAAACCCTAAACCCTACCCTCAACCCCACAGGCCCCAAGTAAAGCCCATAGCAGCACCCCCCCCCCCCCCCCCAAGTACCCTTTCATAGAGGCCTCCAGGTTCTTGTTTGACCCTACGGCTCCAGTTACCTAAGTAGTAGGTTACTAATTATATTACTAACCACACATTGTGTACCCCAGTAACCTACTATTTAGGCAACTGGAGCCCTAGGGTAACTTGGAGTCCAACATGGGGTAGTAGGGGCTTGTTGGTACATCCTCAGCCCAAGAACACTCTAACACTAAAACCCAAAGGACACCCGAGAGACGTGGAGTAGAAACACAAGGGGTCCTAGGTACTGCTATGGGGGAATACTTCCCCAAATCTTAATAGTAATTCCGAATACAGAAACCCTACATTCTACCATAAAGGTACTCTGGACCCTTTGGGAAAGGGAAAGATAAGAAATGAAACGAGGATCAGAAAACTGGACTCCCCAAACCTGACGATACGGGTCGATATAACTACTGTGGATGGACAATATCCTGCATGACCCATAATAGGGAATATACCATAGTTCCCATAGTTGAGGGTCCTTAAGGTCATGCAGGATTTTGTCCATCAACAGTACCAATGCTCCTTGTGGTTCTTGGTTATAAATTATACAATACTATGCTCCAAAACCCTATTCTAATTGAAGACCTACTTGTTACGCCTCTATATCCCGCCTATAAATCCCTTCTAGAACCCTTTGAAGAACCATCCAAGGTACCCCAAAAAACCTATTCTGACTAGGGAGGCCCCCGATCTGAAGTTCTACGTCTCACCCAGTAAAGCTTCCTTACTTGGAGGTTCATGGGTAGTTATAAGGGTTCCTTTTAAGGGTCCCTTTAAAGGGGTCTATAGGGATTCTATAAGGGTATAGGGTTTAGGGTTCATGGGTAGATATTAGTGGAGTTATAGGTAGGGTAGCTATAGTTATAACCCATATTAGGGGACTTATAACTCCACTTATAAGTACCCATGAACCTCCAAGTAACCCTACTAGGATACCCAGTAACCTAAGAATAAAAAGGCCTCTCGGCCTCTCTTTTTAGTATTGGGTAACTTTATAAGGAACCTAGGACTAAAAAAAAGGAATAAGGGTATTACTGGGCAACCTAGCCTAAATTATACCTCAACCCCAAGCCCCACCCTAGGATTTAGGTTGTAGGTTTTTGTTTGGTTTTTGGGCCTCTTTCTGTTCCGCAGATGGTCTAGAGAGCCTGGTTTTAGCGTTTAGGCCTCCCCCCCTCCCCCAAAAAAAACATACTCTATCGTACCTTAACGACGACATGACGCTTAAAACGAAGGGGGGCTATGCCCTCACAAAATTAATCCCTATTTGGTATATGAGCCCTGACCCCTTTAGCAGACCCCTAAGTGCATGAGGTTCAGGGTTAAGGGCGTCTAAGGCTTACAGTTTGTAGGCTTTTGGGTTGAGGGGGTTTAGCTATACCCCCCCTTAGAACCATAATAAAATAATAGTTTCAAGAGTCTCTTGAGCTTTACATGAACAAAAATACGAAACAAACCTAAGGAGACTGTAGTAAAGGTTTCTATAAGGGCTACTTACAAGGGTTCTATACGACAGGGAGAGCTGCGCCAAATCCCAGTTGAACACGCCTGAGCCCAAAATCCGAAACCTCAGGCCGTACAAATCCCAACAGCACTCTAATGTAGGGGCCTTAATAAGTAGAATAGGGTTTCGGGGGAGATTATACTATTAATAATAACAATTCATAAATACCTATAATACGGAACATCCACAATAGTATTGGTAAGTAGTTAAGGCCCCTGTAGTAGACTCTAAACCCTGACTAAAGCATCACCAAAACTCATGGAGCCCGAACTTCCCCCAAAACCCATCTTGGGGATCCAAAAACCTAAAGTCCCAAAGGGTCCAAAGTACCTTTCTTATGGTAGACTGTGGGGTTCCTATCCCAAGGGTCCAAGTATCATTCTGGCATATAGTTATAGGGCATTTTGGGGGTCTAAGTACATACCATGATGATACTTGGACCCTTTGGGTATGTTAGGAATTACCATTATGATTTGGGGGAGTATCCCCCATAACAGTACTTGGGACCCTTTGGGAGTTAACCCCTGAAAGTTGGAAGATGGATTTAGGACGATTAGTGCTGGGATTTCCTAAGGTCCTAAACGTTGCCTTAAGGGAATGGTGATAATGATGTTCCAACTTTCTGGTTCTACTGTACTGGTTTCAGTGTTCTACCCTCTACCAGAGGGTTTAGGAGTTCCTTTAAGGTGTTTCGGGTTTCGGGGTGCAGGGGTTAGGGTTTTTGGGGGTTTAGGGTCTACCAGGGCCCGCTCAATGGCCATTTAATGGAGCTTATATGGTCCTTAATAGTCGGTAGGTAGGGTATATTCGAGGGTAGTTGGGGGGGTCTAAGTATTTGAGGACCTACCATTTTGTACGGGTTGGAGATACAGCTAGACATACAAGTCATCCTAAACCCTAAACCCCCTAAACCCTAAAACGCTAAAGCCCTAAAACCCTAAACCCCAAAACCTAAACCCTAAAACCCTAGACCTAAACCCTGAAACCCTAAAATCCATAAAGCCCGGACATCCCTAAACCCTCAACCCAGGGCCGGGAATGCCTTGAGGGTCTGCAATCGGCGATTTCAGGGTCTCGCCCGGACACCACGAGCACCCTGGGCAAAGGCATCATCGGCGCAAGGTTCGCTATACCCCCCTCAGAACCACCATAAAACTACATTTTTTGAATAGTCTCTTGGGTGTTATCTGAACAAAAATTAAGTCCTAAGGAGACTATAGTTCAGAGGTTTAGAGTTTGGAGAATTTGGTTTAGAGTTTACAGGGTTTTGGGGTGGGTTTTCGGAGTTTTGGGCTTTGGGGTTTACCTTAAGGCTCCTGGACCCTTGTAGTGAGATCCCGGACCCCAGCCCCCAAAGCCGAAACCCTCCCCCAGAGAGCCCAAGACCCTCTTTGGAGCCTCAGGGTAGGGGTTTTAGAGGCTTTAAGGGCTTTTAGAGCTTTGCGGTTTCGGGTTCTATAGGGGCTTTGGGTTGTCCATGGTTCAGAGCTCGCTTCAAAGCTCACCCTTAAAGGGTCCTATGTACCCATATAGTAGAATGTAGGGCTTCCAAAATAGGAATAATTATAATGACTTAGATAAGTATCCCGCATACCCTAAACCCTAAACCTTAAACGCTAAACCCCTAAACCTACACCCCGAATCCCTGAACCCTAAATCCTAAACCCCTCTTCCCCCATAACAGTAACTACGTAGGACCCTTTGGGTCAGGGCACCCTCCAGGGCCCATCCGCCAAATTCGGTTCACGGCTGAAACTCCCATATCACACACAACGCATTGCATACCCTAAGGGTTCAAATATCTCCTTAGGAGGGTCCGGAATCTCCTAGGGAGAGCCCTTGGATCTCTTTGGGGTCTCAGACGATCCCCAAAGCCTTAGGACCCTTAGATTATGCACGGCCGGGACAAACAAGAGCCTGCCAAACATACTGTTTTGCCGCGGCTGCTACCTGCGACAAGTAAGGAAGGCCTCAAACTCCATGATGTCGTGCTCCACATAGCTCAATCCGATCTTGTCGAGATACGCTACCTCTGCGGTCTGCGAAGCACCCAGGCCACTATCCCACCGGGCTTCCTGCCTAGTCTTCTCGTCCGCGAGCAGATGCCAAGGCATCTTGCCTTTGGCCTTGCAGCCCTCAAAATAGAAAACGTGAAGCGTTTGGCCAAGTTCAGCCGCCCGGTCCACGTTGCGCTTCCACTCTTCAAACCATTGACAACCCCAGGGTGCCCGGTCCTCATTTTCGATGCAGCGGGCTTCGGCATCTTGCAAGGCCTCTGCAAGCTCTTGTTCCCACTCTATGTCTCCTTGATGTTGCTTTATCAGGAGTCGCTGGCCCATCGCTTTCGCATCTGCTCTTTTGAAGGCAAGCGTCTGGTCATGGTTAGCTACCTCGTCGGAATTGATTTCCACCACACTGAGGTACGTAGAGGCTGGTACCCGGCCGTAGATTTTCTGGCACCAGCACTTGCCAGGGGTCTCTGGGTTGTTCGCATGCCGACCCAGGCCAGACGCAGCGTCTGTCAAGAATACACAAGCCAGAGAAAATGCCTCCTCTCTTGCAACACTTGAGACCGCTTTGTCCCAGAGGTCGCTGTACTTACCAGGAAACGATACAACGCAGTCAGCTGCGCTCCGGCTGATGTGTCCTGGGAAGGCAATACGTGCGGAAGCCAAGCCAAACCCTGACAGCTCTGCAAGCCTTTGCAAACTCTCTAGATTCATCGGCATGGTGCCCACCATGCCACTGAGAACGAGCACATTGAAGACTTGGAAGGACACGTCAAGAGTCACCAGTGTCGGGGGGAATTGCCTATAAACATCCCAGGCTTCCAAGAAAGCTCGCACGCCAACAAAACTCAAAGCTGGGCCCAAAGGGACGAGGCAGGCATTTGCGTATAGGAGGCATGCCGTCCACCAAATATACTCATTCCCCCTTGCTTGCCACATAGCTCTGCTTGCTGCACGGCACAATGCCCAACACTGAATATCCACCACGGCGAAGAAGCAGCCAAGACAAGTGAGTGCAAAAGGCGACTGAGGGGTGCCGGCGGCGGCGGCCAGAACAAGAGAAAAAACACCGAGAGCCTGGGCTTTGAAAGAAACAGGCAGAAAAAAGTATAGGACTTTTGTTTCATAATTGGCTCCCTTCAAGTAACATGTCCCCCCACAAAAGTATGGAAGACTGGTACTCCAGAGCCCGAGAGCTGTGAGAACCCTACAGCACCGGGCTATGCGATGCCAGCCGAGGGCTCGAAGTTTGAGGCTGGTCATGTAAACCTGCCAGGGGCCTTAATAGAATTGGGCTTTTGGTGTATATTATGCTATACTACTTATACTTACTATTAGGTGATTGCTGATTTTGGCCCCTGTAGTAAACCTGCAGGACATTGGGTCTGAAGAATTAGGGTCCCTTTAACGGAGTTAAAGGAGTAGATAGGGGATATATAGGGTTCTATAACGTAGGGGCCTTGACATTTAGAATAGGGCTTTTGGAGTATATTATGCTATACTTATCATAAGGAACCCTCCCCCAAAAAATAGTGTAGGTAACTACGTATTTAAGCCCCCTGCAGTGAACCTGCAGGACATTGCATAGGACTTCCCAGACAAGCATCGGAAATGAGGCCCGTGCTGTCGATCCGAAACTTCTCTTCAGTGCGTACTGCACGCTTACGTCACCAGCAGGCAACGCGAGACAACACATTGTGACCAAGCTCCAAAAATGCAGCGAGTTCTTGACGGAGAACCGGTCCATCCTGTGGAGAAACACATAGAGCCCAAAACCTGTCACCAAGGGCCGAAACACGGCATCGCACACCTTGTGGTAATCAACAGATTGCCTGAGGTATGTGAAGGGAAGGCTACCAGCGATGCGTGCCAAGGTGTAGAAGGCCAGCACCACTTTCGCTTGCCAACGCCATCTCGGCTGCTGCTTTGGCAGATCCTCCAAATCCTTTCTCATATCTGCCAGAGTGCTTCTTCTTCGTCTCGAGGGCGACGCAAAAGCCTCGTCACTTTGGGCCAGGACCAGCATCTGCGCAGGTTGTTCATTGTCGCGTCTTAAGGCTAGCTCCACGCCTTCGTTCCTTGAAGTGGGCATGTCGGAGGCTCACAGAGACCTTCTCCCTGTCATTTATCACAACAATGGTTACAGACATCTACTCGAAACCCGGATATGAAAATACTTGGGAGACTTCCTTGAGATATGTCGTGAGGGTCTCCGAAGAAGCATTCCTGTCTTAAGCAGTCGAAGTGTAGGTGGATGGCCTGACGAAGGCACGGTTCTATGTCTGTAGACCCGATGCCCTCAACGCAGACCATGGAACTACACCATAACCAGCCTGGTTTTCCTGCGTGGGGTTCTGGTTTGGGGGTAGCGATTGTCTGGCGTTCCACGCTCTCCTTTAAAGAGCTGCTGGAGCCCAGCAACCCCTGTAAAGCTCGTAGCCCTCCCCCAACGCTGGCGCCAATCCCTCAAAGCATCTTACAGACTTTAAAGCATTTTACAGACTTTTTGAAGCTCTTGAAGCCCTTAACCCCTAAATCGCAAACACGAACCCGAACGAATGTTCGAGCCAAAAGAGCGCCTTCAACGACCTATCTGTTGCCTTCCGAGACTCTTTGTAAACCGTGGTTTGCCACAGCAGCATAGCGCAGACATGATACTAAACGCCGAACATTTATGGGTCTACTGACGGTGTAAAAGAGGTTCGGCTTGCTGGTTTCAGTGCTTTCCAAGCTTTGTAGAGAACTTTTTTGTTCTTCAAGTAATAATAATCGTAATAATGGTAATAATAATAGTAACAATAATAATAGTTTCGGGTGAAGCTTCATTCCCCCTGAACTCTCACAGCCCGAGATCTTGGGGTTTAGGGTTTAAAGGGTCTATAAGCGTTCGCCAAAACACGAACATAGGGACCTGAATTATTAGAACAGGTATACGATGCTAACTTTAGTTATATAGTAAGGAGCCCCAAAAAAAAGTATCGGTAACTACTAAGGCCCCTACATTAGGAAAACCCGCGAAGAATCCCTCCTCGACCGAGATAAAGGCATGGTAGAGGAGTGAATGGTTGGGGAATGGGCTGGAGTTTCACCTTAAGGGCAAACCGATGAAATCAGGGTTTAGGGATGTTTTGGGCTTAGGGTTATAGGGGTTTAGTGTCCCAAACATGAATAAGATGTAAAGACGTATAAAGACATCAAGTCAAAAGCCACCGCGAAACCAAGGCCTGCGAGAGGTGGTCTGAAATGGGAGGCGGATGATGTAGAGCCTCACGGGTTATAGGGCTTCAGGGCTTATAGGGTTCCTAGACCCCTCGACTACCCTCTATACCCACTGTACAAGGACCATAAAGGCTCCATGAAAGGGCCCTTGGGGAGTCCTGGTATAGCTTAGGGCCTATAGGGGTTCATAGGCTTTAGGGTTTAGAACCTGCAGGCGGCATGTGGGCTGTCATGTCTCTGACCTATGCTGCAGGGGTTTACACGGTTTGGGTCAGGGTTTAGAGGCTACCTGCATCCCCAAATCCTACGAAACTGCAGTTTAAGATCCCTTAAGTAGGGGGTATAACCCTTAACAAAAGTAGGGGTTATTGATCCCCAGGTAAGGCCTGTAGCTAAGTCCTGTTCTCGTCGCAGATCGCGGGCGCTCGGATAGTCGACTAGCCCGCTTTCTTCTGGAAGATGCTACTCTAGTCGCCTTAATGATTAGACTTGGATTTTGGGGCCCACTATACTATAAATGTAGTAAGGAACCACCGAAACAGTACTGGTATTTGTTTAAGCCCCTATGTTACTGGGCCACCGGTTCGGGCCCAGGGGATCTGCAGTTCGAGGTTCAGCGACGGCAGTTGAAAGAAAACACGTTCGCCGCTTTGGCAGCAGTGCAAACATCCGGTCTCTGTCAGAGCTCATTCTGCTTAATCGGCACTTACAGTACTTAGAGCAGATTTTCGGGATATCTTGTAACAGAAAAGTATAATGAGGAACCCTGAGGGATAGTCTATAAAGCCGAACCCGAACCCTACACTCCAAGATGGTTCAGGGTTTTGGGCTGCGGAACATGGATGCACTATTCGAGGGTTTGCTGCTCAAACACGAAGCCCCGATGCAGGCATCTACGACCTGAAACGTCCCAAGACTTGTTGTTTTTGTGGGGTGGGTGCTTTAAGTAAGCTTTATGGCAACCCATACGGAGCTACCATTCTGTACTGCCTATTCTGTCCACCCCGCAGTTGGGGTATCACTTTTGGAGGTCCATCAGCCAGGTGCGTACCCGGGTGTGAGCTCCAACTTTTTGGCCGACAACACGTCGAGCTCCTTCTGAGTCCCTGAATCAATAGACATTCACCGGAAGTTTCGGCTGTGAGAGCTGTTCCTTGAGGCTGGGGCTCCAACAACTCGTCAAAGGGTTGAGGTGAGGGTCTAGGGTTTAGGGTTTAGGGTTTGGGGTTTGGGGTTTAGGGTTTAGGGTTTAGGCCTTCCACAAAGAGCTATTATCGCTGCTTCTGGTCACGTCCCTCCCGCCTGCTGTCCAAATCGAGCCTTGTGCAAAACACTTGCTCTGAGGCTTGATGGCTGAAACATGCCGAAAGCTACGCCAGATCTCGGTGGAACATACGCCTTTCGTGGCTGGCCTGAGCCCATGCCTAAAGTTTCACCTTTGAATGATTTAAGACTTCGTTCGTACGAAAAACGATGTAACATGTACTTTAAACAGGTAATTATATACCTAAAATAAAATATGTATATTGCTGTCCTTAACCCTACAAAGCCTCACAACGCATCAAACATCCCTAAACCCTCAACCCCGAAACGGCGCTGCATGAAGCGCTTGAGCCCCTGAGAAAGCCTCCGCTCGGCGATTTGAGGTCTTGATCTTCGCGGGACACCACGAGCACCCTTGGCAAGGCCTTCATTGGTTCAAAGTTCAGGGTTCACGCCCCAAACCTCTCATCACGCATGGTTCAGTGTCAGCCATTGGACTATGGAATTGGGGTTGCGCACTTGGGGTTGGCATGTCGCGGCTTTGCAGAGTGCCACTGATACCCAAACTCTCTAAGCACTCATATCTCAAGTCTTCAAGCTGTTGGGGCTAAGGGTCATACTGCATCAGGCTTTCCTATTATTTGGTGCCCCAAAATATGCTGTGCGCTCGCGCAGGAAGACAAGAACGTGCGATGTACTTTGTTTGCTGCAGAAGCAACACTATACAGCAGCATTGACAAACAGCTCTTGCATGCGATCAAGTGTGTTGCGGGCCGATAGGCTGCGATGTAAACCTCAACCATATCCACAACTATGCAATGCATATGTAAGCTAACTCGTTCAGGTCCGTGTGCCTGACGTAATAAGAGCATGCCACACACATACTCTTTTCTTGCAGCTGCTAGGTGCGAGAACTAAGGAAGCCCTCAAACTCCATGATGTCGTGCTCCACGTAGCTCAGGCCGATCATGTCCAGGTAAGCCACCTCTGCAGTCTGCGAAGCACCCAGGCCACTATCCCTTCTGGCCTCCTGCCTAGCCTTCTCGTCCGCGAGCAGATGCCTAGGCATCTTGCCTTTGCCCTTGCTGTCCTCAAAGTAGAAAATGTGAAGCGTTTGGCCCAGTTCAGCCGCCCGGTCCACGTTGCGCTTCCACTCTTCAAACCACTGGCAACCCCAGGGGGCTCTGTCGCGATTCTCGATGCAGCGGACTTCGGCATCTTGCAATGCCTCTGCAAGCTCTTGCTCCCATTCAACGTCTGTTTGGTGTTGCTTGATCAGCAATCGCTGGCCCATCGCTTCGGCATCTGCTGTTTTAAAGGCCAGCGTCTGGTCACGGTTTTGTGACTCGGCGGAATTGATTTCCACCACACTGAGGTACGTAGAGGCTGGTACCCGGCCGTAGATTTGCTGGCACCAGCACTTGCCAGGGGTCTTTGGGTTGTTTGCATGCCGACCCAGCCCAGAAGCTCTGTCAGTCAAAAACACACAAGCAAGCGAGAATGTATCCTGCTGTTCAACGCTTGAGACCGCTGTGTCCCAGAGCTCGCTGTACTTCCCGGGAAAGGATACAACACAGTCTGCCGCGGTCCGGCTGATGTGCCCTTGGAACGCAACACGTGCGGAAGCCAAGCCAAACCCTGACAGTTCTGCAAGCCGTTGAAGAGTTTCTAGATTCATGGGCATGGTGCCCACCATGCCACTGAGAGCGAGCACATTGAAGACTTGGAACGACACATCAAGAGTCACCAGTGTCTGCGGGGGACCAGGTCCTTGATTCTGATTCTCGAAAAGAAAGGCAAGCCATCCGACAGAACTCAAAGCTGGGCCTAGAGGAACCAGGCAGGCGTTGGCATACAGGAGGCATGCCGTCCACCAAACGGACTCATTTCCTGTTGCTTGCAGCATAGCTCCTCTTGCTGCACGGCACAATGCCCAACACTGAATACCCACGACCGTGAAGCTGCAGCATAGACAACTGTCGATAGCAACTTCTCCAACAACCTGAGGATCCATGCCGAAAACTGGGCCGAAGACCCCTGCAATAAACAGACAAAGCGAACAAACACCAAGTGTTGTAAGAACGGCACAGCACCGGGCTGTCCGATGCCAGCCGAGAGCTCGAAGCTTCAGGACGGTCATGTAAACCTGCAGCACATTGCAAAGGACTTCCCAGGAAAGCGTGTAGACAGCGACGGCGTTGAGCGAGAGCACGCAATGAAGGCCTGGATCGCACACGGGCAGCGCGAGACAGCACAGCGTGACCAAGCTCCACTGGTGCAGTTGGTTCTTGACGGAGAATCGGGCCATCCTGTGGACAAACACGTAAAGCCCAAAGCTGGTTACGAGGGGCCGAAAAACAGCATCAACTACTTTGTGGAAATCAACGAAGCTCGCTGGGTCCGAGTCATAGCCTGAATCGCAAACCTCGTGGTAATGAACCGATTTGGCTGAGCGCGAGTCAGAGGCTGATGTGAACGGCAGCCCACCTGCGATGCGTGCCAAGGTGTAGAAGGCCAGCACCACCTTCATTCGCCAACGCCATCTCGGCTGCTGCTTTTGCAGATCATCCAAATCCTTTCTCATATCTGCCAGAGTGTTTCTTCTTCGTC